CCCTTGCAATTTTACAGTCAGCACAGAGGTCACTGAGCAACCGGTTCAGTTTTTCAGAAGTCCTATACTACTTGCGTCTCAAGAACCTGGAGGCATGAGTGAGTCGGTGCTTTGGAGAGAAGATAGTGAGACGCGGCAGCAATCCGTCGATACCACTGATGATGACACTGAAGATTTCACAGAAGCCCTATATGATGTAGTCGACAATTCAGATGATGAAGGAGATTTATAGTGTAGGAGGTAGAACAGATATATCTAGTATTCTGAATATATTATGTACCGGTAGTTCTCGTCACAGTATGATAGTACATAGCTGCGTTCTTTATAACTTACGCTCGACAACAAGCCTTCAGGCCTTCAATTACTGGTATTCTGGATAACATATACTTCTCATTTTCATTATACGAGCGTGACAGACATCTCATAAAAATATACTATGAACGCTCAAATCTTACTATCTGACTGGTCTCACCAAAGTACCATTACAATACTGTCCAATATACCAGTGGAGTGAACTCAGGTTCGCCTGCCTCGCTACAGAATAAAACTGAAGACGATCGTTGAAGTAGGATATTGATTGAAATATACCTGGTTTTTAGTACCTTCCAAAGCCTCCTGCAGCTGCGAATGCTTGACGCGAAGTTCTTGTAATGTCCTGTCCAGATTTGTTTGTTGCGTGTGAGCTTCTTGTTCCAGCACACGAGAGGCTTCGAGCTGACTTTGTAGGTTGTCAATGATACGAGTATTTCCCATTCGTTCTGTTTCAAGCGTAGCACGCCTCGCTTTGAGATCCTCCAGGGAAGTTCCGCCCTGCGAGGACTTGGATCCAATACTGGCTCTGTTTAACGTTTGTTACCAATGTAGATGTTATGGAGAAACATAAACACAAACTCACTGCATGGCGATTTCCATCATTTTTGTGTCAATAGTGTCCTCGTTCCCTGTAACATATATAACTTTCAAGGAATTCTTGCTCAGCGGCTTGTGACCACAGTTTGGACATGCATCGTCTAGTTCGACATGTTTTTCGATGCATAATCGGCAGAAAATATGATCTAACAAAAGGTGAGGACTATGCTCAAGCACAAAGGACACAAACGCTTACTACAGGGTGTCACAGATATCTGGGATTTCGCAAGAACAGGTAGATCGCAGATTTGACATAGAAGGTGAGGCATTGCTCCTAGTGTTTCTTAATGAATCAGTCAATGCCATCTTTCTACATCACAGTACTTAGATCTCCGCTTTGAGTGTAAATTGCTTTCAAGTCCGAATATTTGGTAAAACACGTCAATTGGCCTTGATTTCCGTCATGTCTGGCCGCCCCCTCGTCACTATGTCCACCCCATCTACAATGTACATAGAGGTGTAAATCAAGTTGTTGTCATGGATAAGTAACAATAGGCAAATACCGCCACAGCAGCAGGAAAAATGAAGAACACAGAAACAAGGATACAGCGTATCCATACATTCATGGTAGTGGTAGGGACTCTTCTCGTCGATGTAGTCGAGTTATCTATCACCTTTATATCCTTAGGTGTAATATGACTACTGGTAGTAGAGGCTACCCAGACTTTGATGGAGGGACGACAGTTGCCAGCATCCGTTGAACCGCTTGCTAGCATATGTTTCTTTTTCGAAGGCGAGCAGCACTGCATTAAATGACAAGTAAAAATATTAATAAAATTTCAACAAAACATGTCGTGCGGTGTATTAAAAAGACTCACAGAGACAGCTTGAATTAACTCGGTTTCTGAGAACCTGATCATCAGTAAGTCTGACGTAACAGAACAAAATACTGACCTCCCCCATGGACGAGAACTTGATGTGGAGTTCCAGACTCTACTTCCCACAGGTAGACTTCTCCCCTATCGCTACCACATACAGCCAAGGCCCCGTTCCATCCAAAATGAACTTGCTTGGTATAATTACGTGTGATGCGTACAGGTAACTTGCGAATAAAGGTTGGTCGGTCGGTTATACGATATATGTCGACACCGTCGACGAGATTCGAGACTAGAAGAGATCTAGTGGCAGGCCACCACGAAGTATTACCGCTGAAGAGATAAACCAATTATTTGACTATGGCGGACTCGAATATCAAGCCCAAAAGACTACTCACATTCGCGAATGCAATTTAACATACCAGCACTTCTTCCATGGAGCAATTTTCCACGCTATACTACCATTAACGTCAGCACATACAAAATACTCCAAACGAATATAATGACATTTCTTTGGAGTCAAGAAAGGCAACCATGATCGCGCGGTCTTCGTCAAAAAAATGAACACATCTCGCCAGTGCTGGTCGAGGTGCCTCTGCTTGTGGGGGTTCTGAAAGAATCTCCCGGAGTGGTACTACAACAACGTCAGGAGTGCGGAGCTGGAGAATGATATGACCTTACCAATCTGATTTATGTCCATAGCATACAGTGTAAGGCGCCCCAGACCTACCACAGCAAGTAGACTTTGTGCGTTATTCATTGACATGCTTTCAATGCAACCATCGTACACAGTTATCATGGTGGAAAAAACGAACTCAACCTAGACTTTGGTAATAAGTACCTACATAATCATATATAAAATTGAAAATCGACGAACAGAGTCAGCGGATTCAAACTTCTGCCACATCTTAATGGTTCCATCTGCACCCCCAGACATTATGTACGAGTCACGAGGGGCCTGAGGAAATGAAAACCAGAGTAAACACGAGATTGGACCTTGTTTTGGTTTGATAATTTGCTTAAGCTTGCCAGCTGTCAGGGACCATATTCGAATATGGCCGTCATCTGCTAAGAACGGCCAATATGTCAGTTCCCATTCAAATCGATATTGGCTTATAGATAGCCTACCTCCACTGGCAAGCTCCGTTCCATCTTCGGAGAACTTCAGCACATTGATGGGTTGAGTATGGCCTGTAAATGACCATTGAAGCTCGTAACGCCTCAAATCCATCGTGATAAACGCAGAATGCTGATGCAGCGAAATGCATGTGGGCGCGATTCGTGCTGATCCGCGGATCCGCAATGGAAGCTTACCTAAGCATTATACTCGTTTTACTGTGCATGACAGCGCGCCTGGTCAGGTGTATGATATCTCAATGACTTCTCTTAAAAGCCCATATTTTCGCCTTCATGATCTCACCGATGGCCATCAAGATACCGTCAATTGCATGGCTTTCTCACCTTCGGGGAATTACATAGCCAGTGGTGGGGATGATGCGAAACTTGTTATATGGGATGTAATGAAAGGTATTTCTTTGTGCCAAGTAACGATGAACAGTCCAGTGCTCTCGTTAGCTTGGGATCCCAGGAGGCGTGGTGCGCTCGTGTTTGGCTGTGAGGATGGTGTAGCAGGTTTTATAAATGATTTTAAGGTACAAATTGAATCGACTCGTGATGGCGACGGTATTGCTGAAAATGCCGATTCTATTGTAGAGTAAGGCTGGCAGTCAAAAGATCCTCTTTGGTACAGAGGCTCCGGTATATTGTCTCGCATTCGATGCTTCCCATGGCACCCTCGCTGCCGGAGTAGGTCCTGAAGTGCATATTGCTCGAGATATATCGCACGGTAGGTTAATGGACTTTCTCACATTGATGCTATCAATCTGACATGTTTATAGAAAGATACGCTACTTACAATCTTCTCCCAAAGCCGGGAAAATTCAACGAAGAACGTAGTGACAACCGAATCAGGCCACGGTCATTGCATTTTTTGAAATATGGAGCTCGACTCGTTGTATCGTACTTAAATCATGGGGTGATGTAGGTCTATTCATCTCATCTCCATCTATTTGAGTCTATTCAGATTTATTACAACACAGTTGCTGGGATGTCGATAGTCATGCGCGCCTTTGGCAGATTGAACCTGAACACGACCACGGTTACATGTAAGCTTTCTTTTTAATGTGACTATATCACAGTGCACGAGTACCTCCCGTAAATAGCGGTTTTTCAGCATTGTCGCCCAACTGTCGGACTTTATTGCTGTCAAATCTTTCAGGAGCAATCGAACTTTACCCTCTGGGACAATCCAAGTTAAAGCAATCTTTCAAATATGTTTCTGACGCTACTAGGAATGTACCGCTTGAAGTTGCGTTTACCCACAATGGTCAAGTCGTCCTATCTGGTGCCCCCCGTGGAAACGTACCCCTTTGGGAAACTAAGACGGGAGACCTTATTCAAACTCTCACTCATGAAGGTACGCCACTCTTATGATTTTTGGCGGAGGATTCTTTTTGATGGGCAGTAGATGACTTGATTCAGATTATTTGTGTACGTACCTCTCATTTTTATACGTGCGTGATAACTATATGTTCACTTTGTTTAGGCTAAACAATATCGGACCACTGGTTACATTGCTGCCGCTGCCGCTGAAAAAAGCGAGTCAACTTACATCAGAATATGGAAAGCACAGCTCAGTATGTTACCTCTTGTGTTCTCGAGCCCGTTAGTCATGTATCTATGGATTGTAGCTTCGGATGCCCGGGAGTCATTGCTTGATTCATTGACAAGCACATGGGTGAGTTTGTCTATCGCAAAAATGATCTGTCATATAATCACTAATTTCAATGACTTGACTTAACAGAAATTCTACATCTATGCCAATGTCGAGGAAAATGTTCGAGAGCTCCAGTTTTATATCTTGGGAGGTATTGCTCTCATCGTGGCCACGTATGCGTTCTATCGCGACAGCACCTCTATGGAAGTGAAATTACAACTGCTAGTATGTATGCCTCTACGCCTATATGCCACCCATTAACTTTGTATGAACCAGCGGATGACCACCGTCGCTTTCTTTAAATATTTGATGGAATTTATTTCGGTGTTATGGGCATACACAAAGGAACTGTTACGAAGCGGTCTGAGGGAGTTTTTAGAGCTAGAAGTAGCACATGAGTAGGCATTACAAGGAATATTGCTAGTGTTGAAACGAAATTCAGTCGTCCCATTTGTCTTTAACAACGCAGCGCAGGATCCCGATAAGCTCTTACACAGCACACACATAGCTCCACCAAAGCTCCACCTCAAAGATGAGTGCAGGCGCCGGAAGCTATAGCGCAGCGACCAGCGCAGAGCAGCGAATAACAGTAATTTTGTGTACCAGTCGGGTGACAGTCGTCACAAACTCACAGCCAAAACCGAAAAAACAGGGAAACAAGCGCACAAGCTGCTATTATGTATTCGCATGATGAAGTAGCCAGGGTGCAACATGAATGCTCGTAGAAATCTCCATGCTAAACAAGTCTGTCTTATGTGCAGCTGGCATGCCGGATTTCACCTTTGTAAAAAATAGGTCATCACCAACCCACAACTTAGTACATACAATACGATTTAAATAATCCAGGACGTTCTATGTCCGTAGAAAGCACGCTGTATATAATCTCAAAATTTGCAGCCTGGAAGCTTTGAATTTGAGGGTCAGAACTAGAAGTTCTTCGATGCATCATCGTCCAAATAAACTCGTCTGGAGCCAGCTAAAGTAAAACCTAACTAGATGATTGATTCACGACATCAAATTGTCTGCTCTACCAGTCATAAGCTCAGTATTGTCAAGCTCTAACTGGCATAGTCTTTTGTCTTTAACAACAGGCGGCGTTTTGGGTGGTCGGGCTCACAGGCCGAGATTATTAGGTTGACGCGCATGACCTCTGTGGCATCAAACTAGCCGCCACGGTTTCTTGCCTGTGGTGTCTATCAAATCCATCATCAAGCTCAAGGCTCATCCAGTTCTATTAGAAACAAGCTAAGTACATCTTCAGTAAAGCCTACAGTAGTTTCTGATGCCTCGCAATACTCCTGGTGAGAGAGTGCAGGGTTTGACTAAATTAACCATTTCACATGTGTATCATCGTTCACAGCGTCGTTCAGAAATCCTCACAGCAGGAAGGCAATGGAAAAAAGTGAAGGAGGGCAACAGTAAAAGGTCATCTTCTATACAAGCTGTGTTGCTGCATCTGCTATACCCTACAGTTGCACTGTCAATTTGTACTTTAGCAGCATACCGACAAATGCATTGTAGCTGCCCCCGGTTTTCAATACAGGCACAGTGCAAAACACTATGTTATCTACACAATGTAAGTTTGTTATGTACCGTATTGCATTTGCATCCACTGGTTGTAGCGTAGCTGCCATATCATCCATATCTTAAAACACAGTTCACTGCAGCCTATGATATTTATCTCAAAATTGTTTATCGGGTTGATTCACTCATCAAAGCTGCTCGCAGGGATGATACACCAAATTGGCGGCTTCTTCACTCATGTTTGGCTTGTTTTCACAAGTTAGAAGGCGAATCACAACTTAGCTTTGACTGGCTTGTTTCATTTGATGGGAATAATAGTTTAAAGAGATGGGGTTCTTCAATTTGCAATGCATGGGATGACCCACGCAAAGCACGGTCTGTAACAACCAAGAGTTAGTTACTCTGGCGCACACAGAAACACACTATAAGGAAGATGATGAGGGAGTGGTTACCCCTTTAGGCTGCAGAGAGTTTGTTGGTTAACAACAGGAGGACTCGCTGAGGAGTCTCCTGGATCTATTGGGGTATATATACTACTACAGGGTTATTTGTACATATGTACTATATAGTTGATAGCGACAGTGGCTGATGATGTCATGGGGCCTAGCCCGCATGGCCAGCTCCACTGTGTGAGAGAGTTGTGTCTATAATAAGAAGAAAGGCAATGCAGCGCGAGAAAGAGGAGTTTGGACAAAAAGGGGAAGTGTTGCGTGGCACCATGTGTGAAAGCTAAAGTACAAGGTTAAAGCGGAGAATAAAAGTAAAGGGAAGGTCCGAAAATTATGTTATTGTAACACGGTCAGACTATTGGCTCACAGCAGAATTTGTTGACACATTCAAAGATGGGGTGAAGTCGCGACCAGCCAAGAAGCCAGATGACTTCAACAATGGCTGGGTAGATGATGACACGGTAGAAACAACTGACAAGGAACTACCCTGTATTACCAGATGGCGAAATGCAAACCCAGAAAACCGAAAGAAAATGCTGTCGATATATGATGCATCTGGAATTTTTATTGCTAAATGTTGGCATTGCTTTGTACTACTGGTATGCGACATGCCAGCACCATAGAACATCAACTTTGTATTGAAGAATAATGGGATGTCGGTGGCAAGGAGTATGGCCAACACAAGGAGGCTATTGCTTTGTCAAAATACAAAGTTACATTAAATGACTTGGAATGTCTGGTGGTAATGCGACTGTTTGAATTAGCAAAATTATCAATGTCTGGCACAGGTGAGACATTTCTACTATGTGATACCTCACTTTTAGTAACATATTCTAGGTTATAAATTACGGGAGCATATAGGCAAAGGCTTTACAGTCATGATCACAGGCAATACAAAATGCTCCCACTCGCTATAACAATTGTGCCATTTCTCTCAATCCACCACAAAGCAAACTATCATGGACAGATATTGTTCAATACTCATTTTTGGGTGAATTTGATGTCTTTCAATATTCAGATACTGATGTATGCAGTGAAAGGTGGACACTGCCTGCATATTGAGAAGCTACTGTCAAGTACTTCAAACTCTGTTGTGCTCATGAAGAGATTGCTCGGTTGAATGTGGAGATTCAATGTTTATATGCTGCTATAGGAAAAAGGATACCAACATTACTCAGGTGTTAGCAGAACTTTCAGTATCCAACCCAAAGCTTGGGACTGAATTGAAGCGACAATATCAGTCACATTAACTAATCGATTCTGTGCACCTACATCGCCTACGTCAGATTGAAAATTTACCAGGTTTTTCTGGTGTCCGCAGTGCTTGCACTGTGGCTTGTAGATCTGATGGTCTTACAAGGGCTGTAGGGTTGGGATACATGGATGATGACGCTATTACATATGAAGATAATGTATTTGAATCACATAATGTAGTAAGCTACATGCATTCAGTAGTTGATTGAGTCAACATAATAGTATTGCACTCGCTTTCTTTGGGTCTGTGCTGAACTCATCAGAAGAAGCCGCTCCCTATTATGCAGTCATGCCTTTTTCACTTAGTCGGGATTTTTTCAAGCAAAGAACCAAATATCACAAGACAACAGACCCTTAACCCTTAACCGTTTGAATATTTTCACCAATTTATACATGGCTGACTACCAAGAATTCACAATTCCCGCTCTTGCAGCTTTGTACCCACTTCTGGAACAGGGCCCTAGCAACAATGAACGTCAAGCTGCAGCTCGTGCTGTACTCCGGTACAATGCACATGTTGATGGTGCTCATTATTACACAAGGAGAATTGCAGGTCTGCATCTATCATATATTGCTTTCAATCCAGATGCTGCGCACAAAGAGAGCTCGCTCCAAAAGGAGGAACTTGCTGGGACAACACTACAAGATGTTTTTGATGCTGTATGCTTCATTCCTATTGATTTTTTAATGTTACTTACAATTATCCCAGATCACAGCACAGGATCGCCTTGACGGTGGAATATCATTTTTGGTCCGCTGTCCTGGGTTTAACACATCATCTGGACCATTACCCGAACACATTCCTATTGACCTTTACATCACTCCTTGTGAACTTGCTGAGATACCCGAGCAAACTGGCCGAGACACAGCCCAGCTGGTGCAGGGTTTTTGCACTAACATTGCCATACCTCATTTGGATTGCTTCAGCAAACACTGTGAGATTGAAGGTGTCACTCCACCACACAGTCATACATTTACAATAATCTTAATTTTTTTTTCCAAGATGCTAACAATAAGGTCTAAAGGTCAGGCAATGCCAATCCGGCTACTAAAGGCACCACATTTACCTTTCCCAGAGAATGCAGCTGGTAGCTATATTTGATGTTCTGCATTAGTGCATGATGGCATGAGCAAAAACAAGCTTACATCTGCGCATAAGTCCCCTTCTATATCTACACCAATTTGTTGGCGGCAACATGCTGATGCTTTTCTCTATTATGGAACAGCCATTCAAAACTATTTTCAAGCCCAAAATGGTCCAGCACTCATCAGCATTGGTCCGAACACTGATGCTGTTATTGACCACTTCAAGCTAGGTGAGGACGTCGTGTTGAGGCTCAGGGGATTAGTTAGCTCTGTCTGGAGCAGCCAATGGGAGGTTACATTGAGGTCTGAAGCATGGGATTTGATGTATGAACAAGCATCAAACATGGCAAGGGCTTTACTTGCCGACTTGCAGGGTCCTAATGTAGTTCCACTGATGAAGTCCGAGTCGGCACTCTACCTCGGTTTGAAATGTGTTTTGATCTGGATGTTGCTATATGTGTCCTACCTTTTTCTCTTCTAGTATCACTTCACATATCTTTTGGTGCTCAGTCCTCATGTCCTTGAATGAAAAAGTAATGCATGCTTTGGCAAACAAAGATGTTTATAAGCTTTATTTTGTTATATATACAGGTCACTGCCCACTTGAGTATACTTGCCTGATACGCCCGCTGCCTTGCCCATTTCATCACCTGCAATTCATCATGTCTAACAGATGTACAAGGCCAAATGAAAGCTTTACAAATGTTCGTCGTCCCAAGGTCAAACTTAGCAAGGAAGCACGTGCTGCTATTATAGCCAGACATTGTGAAAAGTCTACACTTCTGCAATGTGACCTGGATGAGGCTTTGCGTTAGATTGACAAAACAACAGCAATTTTGGCAACATCTCACAGCAAAAGTCTGCACTATGTTCAGCAGGAACTATACATGGGATATCCATGACGGATGCTGAAGCGGAACAAGGCCAATGCTTGGAATGCTTTCTGTTGGAACAAAGCACGTGAGCATAATAGCAACAAAGGTAACAAACCAAACTACTTATAAATACTCACCATCTTACTGAATTTGGCTTTGGAAAAAAAGCACAAAAATACAGTTTTGTCAATCATGTACAAGGCTATACAACAGAATATCAGCAGCTGTTGGTAGAAGATAAGGAGCAGCTGCTAAAGGATTTTTCAATATGGCAAGAAACAAAGAACACAAGCCAAAGAAGTTCAACAAGGTCAAGAGTTGCTGATGTAACCAAAACACTGCGAGTTATTGAGAACAAGGTAAGTAATTGATTTGAAACAAAATCCTTTTCTCAGTTAAATAGCCTGCGGCTATATACTGGTGTTGAATCAATGATGATAACAATCTGTGGTTCCATGGACCTCCCCCTCTGTGGAATCAACTTTACAACACTGGGCATCAATGATTTATGAGTGCAGTAATGAGGATCAATATGCAGGACTTGATTTGTAAGATGGAGGGATTTGCTATACAAGGAATGAAAGGTATGTGATAAAAGTAAAATTACAAGAAAATTACATGACATACCATCTCAGTTAATAGGTGCAGCACAAAACCATCAGCAGCAAATATCTCAAGTCTGGGCTCAAATCCATAAATTAATCAACGATAAACTTAGTCAGTGTACCATTTATTTGTGTAAGGGGTTTGCTAACATACCCAACAGAGGATATCACCGATGATCCTAATGCAAAGATGCAGTGGGTTTTATACTGGCAAAATATTGTACAGCGTTACCAGGTCATCATTGAAGGTTGGCCAAGTGACATACCATTTGAAAACCTGAGCAAAGCGTGCAGCTCATTGCTGGAACTAGGTTTGTTGCTGCAACAATGGCAGTCAGGATTAATCCACTGGAAAGAGATCAGCGAAGAGGAATATGAAAGGCTACTCAGCAAACATAATCAAGGCATAACAAATGGAGAAACTATAGAGATCCGTTGCAGAGCCTGATCAGACAAGGGCCAGAAGAGAACCACAGGGAAGAATGCTACAAGTGGCACTACACCTCCTGGTTCTAACAAACAAAGCACCTACAAAAGCACCGAGTTTATTAATGATTCTAAGAGCGAAGACAACTCACCCAACAGCACATGCCCTGAAAGCTCTATCAGACTCCCAACACCCATAATGACTAATACGCAGTGCAGCACTGAAGCTAGTGCAATGGGTGTGGCAACTCAACACGGAACTCCATCTGTTAATCAGATGGTTAGATCTGCGACTATAAACACTGTGAATGATGTAAATGGAGAAATCAGTCATCGAGACAAGGTGAGTAACTTTATTTCTACATATACATTGTCCTTTTCCTAAAGTTTCTTTCAGGACATGGACGTCAGTGATTCAGACTTCTTAAACTGGCTAAGCAGTACAGACTCAGCTCGGATGTAGACTGGCGACATAAATATGTCTGCTTTTGAAAGTGCTTTGGCTGAAATCAACCAAATATATGGCCCTATAGATGAATCAGGAGCCTCAATATCCTTTAACGTTTGATAGTGCTATTTCTTATTAGCTACCTGACACAAAACTGATGTGGTCATTAGATACATAGAAAGACAAATTAACCTTGGCCCTTACACTCTTCAACAGAGTGCATTGTTCTATGCCAGCTCCGTACATATTTTCTAGCAGATAGTAATAGAAAACCTGTTCTTGATATCAGCAACATTATTAAAGGATAGGCTGAAAATGACCCACACTTATATGTAAATCCGAGGGATGAGCCTTGAGCTTGATGATAGATTCGGTAGAGGACAGGCAACAACAATGCACACAGGCCACATCAACGAAGGCAGTTGGGGGAGGGGAGTATGATGTCCAGGGGGGGGGGGGGTGTCAATAGCCTCCAGGGTACAAATGGCAAATGGGAAGGGGGCTGGGGGATGGCAATGGCAGCCTTGCCACAGCATCCAAAACCTCCCTACTTTTGCTTATGGTGCAGGCAAACTTGTCCAGCCTGCACCACTTGCACCCCTCCTCCATGCTCTTTCTCTGCAGATCTTCTACACCCCTGGTAATCTCTACCACCACCTTTCCCTTTTCCTTGCTGGTTGGAGGTGCTACGGGGTCTGGGCACTGACCACCAGAAATCCCAGGGCCAGGGTGGGTGTGTGGGGGGCAAGATAGCCTTGAGGGCCCAGGAAAAGGGGGTAGATATGGGGAGCACCAGGACAGAGCTGCCCTCTTTGCCTTCTTTGATGAAATCACGGGCATGCAAGCAACATTGCGCTTTTGTTTGCCTGTGGTGGGCGCTGGGGGGCTTTTGGAACATACTGGCTGGATGGGCATTGTGGAGAATGTACGAGGACAAGGTAGAACCACTGTGAAAATAAACAGTCAGTAAGAAATTGAAAAATGATGAAAAAATAAGAAACATACTTTACAACCACCACCTATTGTCCAGAGCCTCCCTCCTCTCAGGAGTCTGTCTCCCGGGCTCAATCCAGGCCAATTCCTCCACTGCCTCATCATCCCGGGTGATTAATGATGGATCCACTGCCCTTCCCTTATTCTCTACTCTTCCAAACTGCGTGATGGCCGTCAAAAAGAGCCAGGGGATGTGGAAGTTGTGCCCGGCTTTGTTTACTTCCCTTATTGTGTCTGTTCTACTCACTACTTTCTCCCTCAGTCTCTCCAAAAAATGGTCCCTGTGTTGGACAGGAACTATGGGCCAGTACATAACGGCCTTCCTAATGCGCTCATTGGCTGTGTAGATCTTTTCTTGGGTGGAGAAAGACATTGGGATGGTGTTTTTGGTTGGGGAGGGGTCAAAAGTGTTGTGTAATGTGTTATATCTGAGTGACTGAGACATTAAAGGGTTCAGACACAATATACATGGATCAGGTGCCACAAATTGTGCCCGTGGGAATTTTGAGAAAAATGCACGTGATGAAAGCTGGACTTGGTATTTTTCACATTTATACACCAGAAATGTTGCATTGCAAATGCCAACTCCCCAGTGCAAATACAGTGCCCAGGAACCATCCCCAGGTATGTCCCATCATCTCAAATATCACTCCACCACCATCTTGAAATACTTTTTCTTCAGATTTACCCATGTTACCCACCATGTTACCCACTATATATGCCCAACGACCATGAGTCATAAGTTCATACATTTACTTGTACTCAAAAGGTCTGATATACATTTCATCAGCAATTTCAAGTGAGTCAACTGGCTTATCAGATAATTTGCCATCCCTGGAGGGGTCCAACTCATCTGAATGCTCCCCAGATTCCTCCAAATGCTCCCCGGGTCCTTCCTCCATGCCCTCCGTGGGGCCTTCCTCAGATCTCTCCCCAGCACCCACTCTTACAAACAATATATTTGATATTGGGGTGCCATGCAAGAGACCTAATTAATGGGGAAAATATCTTCAATATTGGGGTGCCCTCCGGAAGATCTAAGAGCAACCCCGGGAAAAACATTTTTGATATTGGGGTGCCATGCAAGAGGCCTAATTGTAACAACCCAGGAGCACAAATTTAGGGATGCCTGGTATTGCACCCTTTGCCACTCATCATCCTGTGACCAAGCCAGGTCATCTTCAACGAGCACCCAATCACCCAGCCAGGCTATCTAAGACAGGTGTCCTCTCACCCAACCGGGTCGTCTAAGGCGGGGCACCCTATCACCCAGCCAGGATATCTTCAATGAGTAGACTCTCACCCCCGTCTATATAGTAATATTATCAGGTCATAATACCCCGTCTAAGATAGAAGGTTATTACTATACTATGTGGTGAAGTAGGAATACCAAAGTTTGGTTCAGTCAACTGGTGCATGACTGAGAACTGTTGAACTAAACCCTAAAAAGTTTAGTCCAGTCCAGTTCTCAGTATCTGAACCAGTTGGCTAAACCATGACCACAACAACATCCTTATATATATTACCCTATAACCTAGGTTAATATACAGCAATCTATATTATTTTTTACATTACCAACTAAGGTAGATTAACATAGGATTCTGTCATATCCGTGCCACAGGCTAGGAAACCCAAGCTTCCAAACAGTCAGAAACCCTCTAGTCTAAACTCCCAAATCTTAGGTCTTCCTTGTGCTTCTCGTGCTCTGCCACTCGGCATAGCCCTGTGCCTCGCTCCCATGTGGTACTCTGGATACTTGCTATAAGATGCTAAAGGTGTTTTGGAATCGACTGAGTATAGTCTTGATGTCTGTTAGGCAATGAATACAAAGCTATATAACAACAACTGATATCAGGCCAAGGTCTTCAAGGTGGTGGAGCTGAGTAGAGTTGCTGAAGAGTATTGGTATAAACGCAAATCTAAACTAATTTTGAACTAAGAACAATAATACACTAAGTAGCTACTATATAGATAATGAGGGTCAGACCCCAAGGGAAAAAAAAAAACAGGAAAATGGCCTGACCTGACAACTAACCAATAAAATAAAAAAAGAAGTGGTGTGATCTATTATAATTACTAATCATGTGGGAGAGGCCTTTAGTAAGGAATATGTGATTGGCTGGATCAGTAACCCCATGGGAAGGTGCTGAGTCATAGTCTGTATTGCTGATTATCTCTCACCAAAGTATTCCTGTGCACAGCTCTTGATCAGGGCTATACCAAATGACACAGCCTAAGGAACACAATTCCAGAAAATCCAAAAATTTGGGAGTTTGGATTTGGGGGCTCCAGCTTTTTGAATGTTTGGATTCTTTAGCCTGTGATACAGATATGAAAATGTGGAAGTATTGGCTGTAGCTCACTACAAGCATATATTTATATTATCCTAACAGTCAATCTCATATTACTACATCTAGAAGATTATCAATCCCACACTGTATTCACCACTAAAAGCTGGGTGTAGTAATGAGATATTAGCAATGTATCAACAAAAATAATATGTAATTAACAATGTTCCAGGTTTAGTGATATGAGACTAGCAATTTATTGCTGAGTATCATGTGTGATTGATAATCTTATGGTGTACTTCAGACTTTTAGTCTACCCATATATTTCCTCTGTATGTTTCTATTGTCTTTATGGACTGTGTTGTTATGATACCCAACTTTTGTACTTATATCTTTTCTTTCTCTGCTTTAACTTTCTTTCTTAAGTTTTCACACAGTTGTGCCATGCATCACTTTCCTTTTGTTCAGACTCCCATTTCTGGCGCTGTACTGTGTTTTTTTATTTTTGGATACAAGTCTCTCATGCAGTGGAGATAACTGTTGTTGTTGACAGTTGAAGAGTAGAATCCTATGTTAATGCACCTTAGTTGGTAACACAAAAGATAACATGGATTGTCATATATTGACCTAGATTCACCTCAACCTCATAGAATCATTAGCTAGTAAAGATGCCCTAGGCATGTGGTATAGCAAGCTAATTAGCTAGCTTTTGTCTTTTATCTGCCGCTGTGAATAATAACTCCAATAATTCCGGTAAACAAGAAGCTTGTTGTATTGACTGTAACTTGCCACTCCCAAAGCCTTTTTCACTTGTTTTCTTTGGTGCATACTTGTAAGGAATCAATTTCTCAATTGCATTCCCATCATATCATGGTTGTCCAACCCATTCCCCATCACTTCTCTCACAATTCAATTAGAAGTCACGGCCGGTACTCTGTTACTTGTGTCTTTCTTCTTCTTATTTTCCATCACACTCATATTATATCATACTTACGACATAAGAGATCCATCTCCGACCCCCAAGAAGATATCCCTATGGCATAGCACTGATTAAGAGCTGTGTGCGGGAATATTTCAGTGAAAGATTAATCAGCAATACAGACTGTGACTCAGCACCTTCCCATGGGCTCACTGATCCAGCCAATTGTACATCCCTTACTAAAGACTTCTCCCACACAATTAGTAATTATAATAGATCATACCATTTCTCCCTTTTTCTTATTGTTTAACTGTTTAGTCAGATCATTCTTTTATTATTTCTCCTTCTGGCCTGACCTCTGCTGTTTATTATATAAGGAGTAGATATTCCATGTATTATTCCTTAGTTCAATATTAGTTTGGATTTGCGTTTATATTGATACTCTTCAACATCAATACTCTGATCCACCGCCTTCTTCAAGGACTTGGCCAGACATTAGTTGTTGTAATATAGCTTCATATTCATTGCCTGACAGAATACTAAACTCACTACTTTCAAATTCTCTTCCAGAGTCCCTTGGGAAGACTATCTTGTGACTGTCATTGCCTCTGCACCAGTCTAAACCCTCATTATCACCTCCTCCACACCTCCATCATTCCCTACCCCTCCCTTCACCATTTTTTGACCTCTTACTATCCACACCACTACACCTATTGTCATTCAGTCCCCTCAAGTTGGATACCTCATCTATAGTAAACACTCTCATCCAATTCTTCACCCTTTTTGCCATCATCTGTTACCTTCAAACCGGTTTCCTTGTTGACATTGCCTTCCTTCACCATGTTTACATCCTGACAGCACTTGGACAAGTGGGTATCAGAAGTGGACCGCAGACACCGGAGAGAGTTCCTCCCAGCCCTCAACAAGCCGCTCCCAGTCCTCCCCGTCCCTATCAAAGCCCATACCCCAGACGCGGAAGAAACGGTTGAGCAGATCACTGAGCTATATCAAGACTCATCTGCATTGTCTTCTCCTGTCAATCTGATCAAAGAATCAATTCTTGACATAAACAACGCTATCACCCTCACCCAATCCATCTTTTACCATTCTGCCATCTGTAGGAGAAAAACTAAGAGCCTCAAAGAGGTTCACCAATGTCTCAGACAAAACACAGAGAGAGCTTTTAATTTTCATATTTCTGAACCATGTGCAGGTTCCGCTGAGCAATTACTTAGAAGGCCTAGTATGCCCAGAGAGTCAAGCTTCTGAAAGGAGAGGCTAACATACAGGAAAGAATTTTGCATATCATTTTGCATGTCATTTTGCAAGACTTCATCCCCTCTCCTCGAATTTTATTGAATCTGCCCTCTTTCATTTCCTAGTATACCCATTCAACTTCTCCCTTATGGTTTTGAGCATACTCTACCTTGTGGCATTGTTTTGAGAAAACAGCCCAACAAAGCACCCACCTATAATATCCCCTCCTCATTCTTTACCACTGACTACTACAACATCTACTCCGCTTCACCAGTTCATTATCAATCTATCAAATACTTCTGCATCAGTAACCACATTGACAACCTCACTATCATAAACTACTTAACGCAACTTCACCATACTCTTTACCTCCCCCACATCAAAGATCTTGAAGCATTTAGACCGCGTTTTGGTCTTCAACAGAGTACTTCTGTTGTCTTAGTCACACCCACCACCAAAGACCATATCCAAAGAGTTTTCGTTTGTTTAGCTCAATTCAACCAGCTTATTGCAACTGCATAAGAGAAATCCCATGACAAGAAAGATTATACCTCCAAGTTAGATGTCATCCAATATCTCTCAAGCTATGTGGAGAAATACTACCGGGTATTGGAGATCCTTACCCCGCTTGTTTTTAACCAGCAATCGGATCAGCACAAATGTTTCATTGTCACGGTTATCCAGTGCAACTTCTGGGAAATTGTCAACCGCAGTCAGAAAATTCATATCTACTTGCAATACTTGTCCTCGTACCAAGGTCAAAGAGGGGAAGTGTCACTCATACTATCTGTGGAGCAACTCTTTGCACCAAACACTTAAAGAATCAAATTAAAGACAGGAAGTTTGTTTAAAAGCATAATAGGAGATGCAGAATCAGACAAAGGAACAGAGTCAGAGAGCAAAGAACCTGTTGAAGGCATGGAAGAAAACAGTATTTCTAACCATTTTGAATATTGGAGACCTCAAACAGAAGGAGGATTGATGGACAATTTTGTTTTTGACCCTGACTTTGATTAAATAAAAACTTGTGTTTCTAACTTTTCAAACTGGAGCCCTACCAAGAACCTCGCCCTCTTATCACTCCAAAAATGCCTCCCCCACAATCTCTAGGAGCCGCTGCTGAAGCCCTAGAACCAGACAATTTGTATCAATCCACAGGACTGTAAAACTTTCATCAGGAAAAACACTTTGGCCATATAGGCTTTTATAGTACTATAATTGCAAAAATAGCTGTCATAGTGATCATAGCTGTAAGAGAAACCCCATCATTTATTTAGGCACAATGTGCTCTTATAGTGATCTCATAGTTTGCTATAGTTCCAAGAAGCTCCTATAGTAATGTCAATACTATGATGGCATTTAGAGTAGACATAGGGCCCATAGCACCTATGGCAATTATAGCACTTATAGTACTCAAAGCACCCATAGCACATATTGCATTCAATTACCAAATAATAAAATGAAAACAGCACTGCCATATTTTGTACTAGCAATTGTACTATATGCAACAGTAAATAGGAGAGTGACTACAAATACTATCAAGCAGCTTGTGCAATGATATTATTCTTTAGAGCTTCAAAATCAATACCAAAATCCTTGTCCTTCATCTGGTCTTCACCAATCCCTAGATAATGGAGATTGGCCAAATTTCTGTTATGGTAAAATTAGTGATGATGGTAACAGCCAAAATACTGGTACTTACAGAATGTCCTGGTACAGACCATCTCTCATTTGCTTCATCCACACAAGGCTTTTCTTCTGAAGCACCAACAGCTTTTTGAAATAGTATTCCCACCTTTAAATAAAATAAAAATCAAGTTTGACATACATAAATGATATTGTACTTGGTTTCGAAAATGCTCTCTGAGAATTCTTGGGTAGCTTTATTACCATTTACATATCCCCTGAGGGAACATTCAATCTGAAAAGAAAATGGAATAGAATAGAATGCCTTTGAAATGTTCAGGATAGCATACTCCCTCACCCTTACACCCATACCATTGATTATGAATGGCTTTTGCTTGTTGAATGTCCTGGCCTTGAAAAAATAGTTCAATTTGGCGTAAACATGGGAGAATGATAGCTCACTTTGATATCAAGATCACCATCAGCAAATGCACCAGTCTCTAAAAGCCACATTACAGCCTGCTTGATTTGAACTGGGGCCATATCACCAGGAATTTGATAAGCACCATTGATTATGATGCGCGCTTTGGCAACAATTTCTCCTTGAACCTGGGCAACAGCAGACCAAACCTAGCAACAAGATACATGATTAGTATAACATTATTGGAGGTGGAAATACATACATAGTCAATCAATAGGATTTTGATTTCTTCATTACTTTGAACCTCTAAAAGCTTGGTTTGTAATTCTCTGCAACCTTGAGAGGCATCAATAAGTCTGTTCCAAGTAAACTTGAAGCGTGATGTGGGGGGAGGAAAACCCTCTTGAGGTGCAATGTATAATCTCATTGTAGCATGCCCAGCTGTAGCAAGGTCCACAAGAGAACTAGGAAACATAGCCAGGGTGATTCTAGTTCTTTTGGTAATTTTTAACAGTAAAGAGACAGCCGTAGGTGTTGAGATAGAAGTAGAAGTTGAAGACATCCTGGATGAATGTGTGGAAGATTTTCTGGAAAAACTAGAAGAAGAGGAGTACACCAATGATTTAGCCTTTTCCTGCCCAACAATGGGTCTGAAATTGGGCTAATATAAGCTGTTAGTGTTATAACCAAGAGTTTGTATACTCTGGAATACAACTCAGACAAAGCTATAAAGAAGTGAGGGGAGTGGTTACCCTTTAGATAGGACCGAGTTTGTTATGGGTAAACAACAGGAGGACTCACTGAGGAGTCTCCTTGATCTATTAGGGTATATATACTACTATAGGTTGTTTGTACATGTATATTGTATAGTTGATGGAGGCAGTGGCTGATGATGTCATGGGGCACAGCCCGTATGACCAGCTCCACTGCGTGAGAGACTTGTAACTAAAATAAGAAAGAAGGCAGTACAGTGTGAGAAGGTGGAGTTTGAACAAAATGGAAAGTGCCACATGGCACAGTGTGTGAAAACTACAGAAGAGGGTTAAAGAATAGAATGAAATTTAAAAGTCCAGAAATTGTGTATCGTAACAATTAGCTCTATGGATGTAAGAGATACTAATTTAGAGACGTACTTGCTCATCCAGAATTGATCCATCTTTTCCCCTGTCATCAGAATCTTGGGTAACAATTTAATATTAGTGTTTTGTCTAGAAATAATGATTGTTTACTTTCAGCTCTGGCTTCCTCATCCTCATAATACTCATCATTATCCCCTGTAGGTGTGTGCTTTCTGAGTTAGGATCCCTTGAAAATTATCCTCATCGGAATCATGGTCTGAGTCCATGGCTTGTCTTTTTCTAGGAGGGTTTAGTGGTGTAACTGGGTCATCATCATAGTTGTAAATATCCTCTTCTTCCATTACAACAGCTGTCCTTTTTCTTGTCTCTTGGAGGGGAGATTAATATACTTTTACCAAACCAGAATATATATATTCCAATACCTCTTTCTGAGCTACTTGGGTAAATTGCACACCAGAATTCATAGCATCCACAATGCACTGATACTCCTCAGCACTCAAAGTAACTGTATTGTTTTAAGCCTTGGAGCCAGGAGCTTTAGATTTACCCTTGGAATTTATTTTGCCTGCCATTGAAAAATTAGACTATGAGAAATAAGTGAAAAGAGAATGGAGCGCAAATGAGAAGTCACCATTTTTCTGCAGAGTTTAGGGCAAGCCTTCTAGGCCAAATACAATTATACCTGACAAGTGCCACTAAGATTTGGCTGAAAAATAACATGTACAGTAAAGCAATATATCAAACAATGTACTTATACAAAGGTCCTCATGGCTTCATTTTCCATCCAGCCATTTCTATCAGCAGCCCAATAAACAAACTCATAATCAGTATGAAGCACTATGGATGCACATTTACCTTAATAATGAAGGTTGAGATGAGTGATATCAGACAACCTGAAAATTGCAAAGTCCCCATGGTTCAGCTCAATAACAAGGCCTGCCTCAACCATGGCAAGAGCAACCCCCTTAAATGATCCAATGGGGAGAACAAGACAATGCTCCTGATCCTTGCTATCTTGGTGAGCCTTTGTTTGCACATTGATGTTAATGACAATTGACAGGAAGGGGGCGGTTGGGGAGCAATGGTTTGCTGGTAAGATAGATGCAACTTGCTTAAGCATCTGACACTCTTCAGGCAGGTGGATTTGCATCTGATACAATGATGAGATAGCTGTGAATAAAGAGGGAGTACCACTTACAATACAATGTATCCAGTTAAACAGTTCTTCAAAGACAACTTTGAGGGACTGAAATAATTCCTGGTTATTACTGACGTCCTTGAATATATAGGGGATCATCTGGCTGTGATTGGTATGTTTGCAGCCCACTTTGTCAAGCATAGACGGTGGCACATCAGATGGGGCTTTGAGACCCTGTAAAGGATCAGTATTAAGTGAACATATAGTAAGGATTTACTTTACCTTGGTAATGTGACGGTTGTACCATAACAAGTGAAGTGCTTCAAATGTAGAGTCAGCATTTACACAAGTGTTTTTCTCTGCCAATAGGTCAGGTTTCCCAAACACAGCTAGTAGGTTACCTGTGAGAGAATTACAAAATTTTGCTGGAAGATTGGTACATGTGAATGCCATGAGTGTCTCATCAGAATTCCGTATATCCACCAAAAAACTTCAAATAAGTGAGTGAACAATCGGTGATTAGAAAGTACGGAAAACTTACTTTGGAATAGCATCCATAGGGATGCAAATGTAGGCGTCATCTGATACCTTCCTTGTAGTGCACACCAAACTGGCGACACAAATAAACAATCAGGGGGCAATGGTGTAGAAAACTAATTACATACCTGTGATTGCAAATCTTTTATGTTTCTAACTTGGGCACCCTTCTCTGCACGCTCACATTTGCACTTTGTCCATACATTATTAGTTTGATGATCACACTTAGCTCGAAAACACTTGTTTTGAGGCATAAATTGGTCATAAGTAGTGCGTATGATTGTTTTCTCCATCCCTATACCTTTCAGTTGGATAGCGGGGGGTGGGGCTGGGTCATTTTCAGCGTCCAAAAAGTCTTGTGAGTCTGATAGAGAAGGGCTATATGGTCTGGGCAGGAAAGACAACATTGATGCAAGCAGCTCATAGCCAAGCTGATGGAGGGGGATAGGAGAATAAACATTAACGTCAATGGTAGTATTGTAACATAATGCCCAGTGTTGAATATTGCAATTGTGTAATGTAAAGTTGTTGTGTCATGTAAGAAAAATGATGGAATATAGTGATGAATGAGTGATGCTCACTTGAAGACAACAGAGTCAAAAAATCTATCAGAAGATGCAATATCAGTGCAATCAAACTCACCAGAAACTTGGTGCTAGGGGAATCATGTGTCCCTTTCTATGTTTGAATGAGTCTTTCAAATCTATAGCATGGTCCAAGGCTTAGCTTCTGGAAAGCGCTCTGATTTGTGTTTTGAAAAGACTTTCCAGAAGTCATGGTACTCTGGAGGTACCAGCCTCTTAATCTCTTCCTCGGGTTCTAGTTTGTCATTGTCATCATCAATCTTATCCAAAGACCTGAGCTTGGCATACACGTGACCAGCATTTATCCTTTTATTAAGCTTAATTTGACGGACATAACTCGGCTTACCCAAGTCACCACACTCCTGAGGGCAATGTGACAATGTGGCAACCCCTGTCTGCCAGTTGATCTCAGGATTGTGTTTGAATAACCAGGTCCAGCCTAAAATTAAATTAATCTTCCCTAGTTGGGTAGCTTCAGCGGTGACTTGTTCTCTGTGTCCTTGGTATTCATCAACAAAAGAACATTTGTGCATAATGCAGCCACCCACATTAAGTGTAATGTCAATGTTATAGACGAGAATAGATACATTTAATCTTACAAGAGGGTGTCCAATTTCCTCCGCCCAGACCTGATCTATGAAGATTCTGTTAGCGCCTGAATCAAGCAGTGCACTGGTTGGGCGTACTATGCCCCAGGCAAGGTTTTCCACACCAACATCTAAATCTCTTTTCGGAATAAATATGTTGTTGCAAAGTGGCTCCAAAGAAGAAGAAGAAGAAGAAAAATCGAGAGAAACATTTTTTTCTACTTTATGATTTTCTATATTTTTATTTTTATTTTTACCAGAATCAAGCACCCTAGTGTTTGTCTTGCTGGGGCCACGCTCCAAGGGAGATGCTGGTGCAGCGGTGGTATCATAAATATTACAGTTATAATTCTTCATACAAGTACATACTTCAGATAATTAATTGAGAAATCTATTTAAAAATTGGGGAGCCACCCCCTTCTTTCCGTTATTGCTCATGCAACACCCTGGAGCAGAGGCCACTTTGTTGTGGTTTACTTCATTGTTACGGGGAGCGAAGGCACCCAAGTGACCTACACTCTGAATTCTTTTCCCTGGGCCTTCATCTCAGCAACCTGCTAATCATAGAAGAAGGCCCTGATTTTGTCATACAAATGACCAGCGAAATTATTGAGCCAATTGTCCGGCTTCTCCATTTCTAATTGGCACGCCTGGCACCCTTGGTTATTTTTTTGTTGGGCGGCCTGCACCCCATTTCTGCAATCTTGGGACATGTGTCCCTCCTGGCCACAGTTATAGCAGTTGCCCTTGAATCTGCGCATTTGTCCGCTTTGGACCACACCAATATCCATAGGAGCACCCTGTCCTGGCTGCAGCCTAAACAGCTTGAACCCTTGAGAGTTATTTTGAGTTTGGTTTGGTGACCCAGGGTGCCTCTGGGACTAGTTATTTTTGGTGGTGGACCCGCCACCAAATTGCATAGTGTAGAGCCCCATGGCTCTACCAATTTTTCAAACCTCCTCAGCAGCTGCTAAAAGGTTCTCGCTCCGCATATCTTGTATGTAAAGCTGTTATGCAATAGCTGGTGACACATTACGCTCCAACAGCTCCACTGCGTGTTCATTTCCTAAACCCCCTTGGATGGAGAGGGCCAGGAACCGAGTAACAAAGTCATCCATTCTCATGTTTCCTTGTTTGAAGGTACGGATGTGCTGACACACCCAGTTACGCTCAGCTTGAGGTTTGAAATATTTTTCAACCTCTACTTTGAGATTGTCCCAGGTAGGCCAGTGACCAGCGGTGTAGCATTCCTGGAGTCTAACTTGGGCGTATCAACCCGCCACAGGTCCTTTGAGTCTTGACAGCACAACTTGCGTCCTGCTGCTGAAGAACTAGGGATTGAAAGCAATGACAACAATTTTGGCGTTGAATGTCCAGGTAGGGCAAAATTTATCTGATTCATGTTTGAACTCATTGCTTTATAGATATACCTGAGAACTCATTTGAAACATCACAAAGTGATGTTCATTACAGCTCACCTACTTATCCATGGCCATCTCTAGCGGTACATCTGTTATTTTACCTTTTCTCTCTCATTAAAACCATGCCAATTTTACCCAGATATTTGCAACTGATTTACTTTTTAGTTCGCGGTGACTTCAATTTTCTCAAGCTCAACAAAAGGCCATCTTATCCTGGGCAAATAAATTGTCAGTGCACAATGTTCCAACGCTCTATGTGTCACTTCAGTCACCCTTCAAATGGGGGCATTTAGGTTGAACATTGTGTGTAAAACTATCAACCTAAATGCCTATTTTTTTGGGCAAATCCCAGGACTTGGGATAATCCCCAGGCAATTTACATCTAGGCAAATCCCATCCCTATGGAATTATCCCAGTGGGGATAATCCCAAAGAAATGTCACATGTCACAAAGTGTCAGGGGGGCTTGGACTGGTATTTTTGGACAGCATTCAAACAATATAAATGATAACTACAAATAAAAATATAGTCAAGGTTGTTTGGAAGCATTGAATGCATTATTTTTAACCACCATTAGAATAGGTTGACATTTGCAAAATGATAGTATTTATGATCTAAATTCATATTACATATGTATCACCATAATACTACATCATTCATGTCCTTAGCATACTGCATTGGAATCATTTAATGGAGTAAAGGAATTAATTAAATTCTGTCAACTGTAAGGGTGCAAACATGAAATTTCCAGCTGGTTATCCTACATATATTGTATGGTGAATGTACTAATAGCAGAACAACCACCCTATATATTATATAGTCAATGGCTTATGGGCCTTAAGGCTTTGTGTATCCATGTCCACTACTTATTGTAAAGCTTTACTAGTAATGAAGTACAGTGTTTATAATAGACCAAAATTTCAGGTGCACAAACCAAAAACAAAAGATATTAGAGAAATGCAAATACTTTAAAAGTTTAGAAGCAATATTTGATAGCATCTCCGAAGAGTAAGGGAGCTGCAGCTGCAAAATGTTTTTTATGGTATATGATCTTCAGTATGTTTGGCTTTAGCAAAGGCAGCAAAGAGTACAGTTTGTTGTTGTTGAGAATTGACCCTCCTACCAAGTGAAGATTAACTGCAATAGGACTGAAAAATGCAAAAAAACAACAACAACTGCAGTGTAAAGAAAGTAACAAAGAAAAAAAGTATAGGCCTTTTCAATTTGGCATTGTGACTGAATTTGAGACTGATTGTCTCAGAACTGGGTGATAGTTCACATTTGAAATAGTGGTTGAAGACCAGGATCTCACGTATTGATTGGATCTGCCCTAGATTTTTGGGACCAGAATTAGATGATTCTGCACACTTTGGGGATCTGCCTTAGCTTTGGGATCTTCCCATACACTTGTGGGATCTGCCCCTCAGTCTGGGATTATCCCTGACCAATGTGGGATGATCCCAGGATGTATTGGGGATAATCCCATACAGGGGGGGCAGATCCTATAAGTGTATGGGATTATCCCTGACTAACATGGGATCTGCCTCTCAGTCTGGGATTATCCCCAACCAACATGGGATGATCCCAGGATGTACTGGGGATTATCCCCTCAGCCAAGGACAATCCCTAGCTTTGGGATTATCCCAAATACTTTTGGAATCTGCCTCTAGCTCTGGGATATCCTTATGCAGGCTTGGAGAGAGTTCCACATTCTCACACACTGATAAGATCCTCCTGAAACATGCACAAATGTAGTATATAGATTGCCATACATTACGCAATAAGTACCATAAGTTTTTATGCTGCTGATTAGCACCCAAGTACAGCATTAACTAAATTGCAGATATCACAGACATCTAATATACATCTATCAAGAAAATATAATTTATGGTTGTCAATCAAATCTTTGGTCTTCAACCAAACCACAACAACCATCTAGATCTCCTCACTATCTCACTGCTTTGAGGCTTCAATCTTATCCACTCACACCAAACTCATTCCACATTTCAGGTGAGAACAATATACCATGTTCTCAGATCATCTATTCAAATTTTCAACAACAAACCATTTGTCATTTACTATTCCTACTTCTTGATACATGGGGGCCTAGCACACCTCTAAAAACAGAACATTCATTGGGCCACTTACATACCCATGGTATTGAGCCAGCCTCAACCAGTGAAATGAAAATATGTAGCTTTTGCTCTGATGCTAGCTTTTTCTCACATGGCTGACTTGTGATTAGGTAGTTTTGTATAATGGATTTTCATTCAGGCATACATATGAATTATTGTAGTATTTCAACCTTTAGGTTTGACATAGCATAACTACCATAACAAAACAAACCAAATGTTTGACATATTGATTTGAGGTTCTTGCTCACATCATGCTTTTCACACATCTCAACAACCAATAAATATGTGAACTTAGCATTATACCATATCACACTCAAATTCAGATACATTTAAGGTCAGAATTGTACAGTATTCATTATCTTCCAATTGTTCATTGTTCAAACAATATTCAGCTTTCTCCAGGTACATATTTCCTCATTACAAGGCATACTACTACTTGTCATTGTTTAGTGCTCAAGCATCAATTTCTGATCTATTGGTATTTCTGGGAAAAGCCACTTTTTCTGTTATTGGCCCCCCTGACACCTTGTTACATGTGACATTTCTGTGGGATGGGATTTGCCCAGATGTAAATTACCTGGGGATCATCCCAAGTCCTTGGATCTGCCCAATAAAACAAGTATTTAGGTTGATAATTTTACACACAATGTTCAACTTAAATGCCTCCATTTGGAGGGTAACTGAAGTGAAAAAAAAGGTAACTGGGCCCCGCTTGCTATCTGCAGATCAACCTCTTCCCAGCTGAGTATTGGATCTCAATCTCCGACTACCCACATTATAGTATTTGAAATTGTATATAAAAGCTATGCGTAATAAACCCTGGTCCGGATGGTTGTCAGGGGGTGGTCCGCTTGTTAAGCTGTCAACCCTTCTCCAGACTGGCGGAGGCAAGTGCCTGGCCTGGTCAGAGGAAGAGAAAGCAAAGTTTTTGTATCTAAATTCTAATCAACAATAGTTCCACACTATTGCTGAGCTAAAGTACTCCCCTTAACACTGGGGACCATGTATAGTTTAATTGTCCCTTCTCCTTGAGCACTACAGGGCTGTTGCTAAGAGTGCACCCTTCTGCTATATGGGATATTCCAAAACAATAACCCCTTAACCCTGGGGACCGGGTTTGCACAAAGTGCGAGGAAGTAGTAAAGAGAAAGTCCTAATGTTAAACCAAGAATTTGTATACTCTGGCGCACAACTCAGACACAGCTATAAAGAAGTGAGGGGAGTGGTTACCCTTTGGATAGGACCAAGTTTGTTGTGGGTAAACAACAGGAGGACTCGCTGAGGAGTCTCCTTGATCTATTGGGTATTTATACTACTACAGGTTGTTTGTACATGTGTACTATATAGTTGATGGGGGCAGTGGCTGATGATGTCATGGGGAACAGCCCGTGTCACCAGCTCCACTGCGTGGAAGACTTGTAGCTAAAATAAGGAAAAAGCAGTGCAGCGCGAGAAGGTGGAGTTTGAACAAAATGGAAAGTGCCGCATGGCACAGTGTGTGAAAACTACAGAAGAAAGTTAAAGAGGAGAATGAAATTTAAAGGTCCAAAAATTGTGTATCGTAACAATTCAGGCCAGTGTCTTGCCAAATATCATCATCCACATTGAGTTTGAAGAGGCCTTCACGAGAGATAGACTGGGGGGGGACTGCATTGCGAGGAGCCTTTTTCTGTTGAATAAGCACCTTCAGTTGATCACAAAGTCAATTATAGGTGCTCGTGAGTTTGACAATGCCAGGCTCTCGTCTTTTCACAGACACTTTGATTTGTCCGTGAAGCTTGCAGCCTGGTAACACAGTATCACACATAAGAAGATAAAATGCGACACTTATGGCTTACTGTCCGTCTATAAGATTGCTCTAACCTCTCCAATTCAAGTTTTCACCATTGCAAACACTCTCTGATGCAGTGTTTCAACGCAAGCACATTTATACAAAGCTGTAAATAGGTATTTTTCTTCAAACTTTCTAATTTAGCTCGATCTACAACTCCTAGTAGTGCCTTCTTTCAAGAGATGCTATCCTCTAATTGAGAGCACTTTGCACAATGCTCCAAAATATTTGCTTCTAATTCCACAGTGTCAATGCCTTGATCACCCAAAAGTTCTGCTTCTAGGTCTCGCACATCTTGGTGGCATATATCAAGCATTTTCTGCAAAGATAGGATCATCAGATTAATTGTCTGATTACCTTGATGAGGAGTGCAACCTAAATATTATAATTTCAGAGGCTAAACAGCCACAAAAAGATCAGGTACATACACATTAGTGGTTTAGTTTGTGTTAAAATTTGATGGTTCCACTGGTCCCGCAGAATGGCCTTGTCAGTAGATAAGTTTTGAAGAGCCATCTTGGCTGCATTGTTCTTTTGCTGACATTGCAACCATCTCCAAGATAGCCATTGACCAAGCCCAAGCAGCGATTATTTGCTCAGGAACTCAGTCCTATTTTCCAGCACAAATAGGCGCTGATGATACTATGGATGAAATCAGTGACACCCTGTGTTGGATGCTATAAGTACACTTACACTGGACACCCTCAGTAAGGGTATTAAATTTTTGATGGGGCTCCAGAATTGATCACAGCCTTCACTGTCTGTGAGTCCAAATCCTATGCACTTTTGTGGATGAAAAATAATTCAACAAGGCCATTGGTGGCCATATGTGTGGAATAATGATAGAGCAAAAGAGATATGTTGAAGGTTGCATCCCAAAAAATTCCACTTGAAGCAAGATCTATGAAGCTGACACGCAATATCATAAAGTATAACAATCTTTCTGGACTGTGAGAGGTTGTTGAGCAATTTTTTCAGGAGGGTGAGTGCATAATGTTGTTTTTCTCCTGCCGAGGTCATATTTGCAAGCCAGAGTACGTGATTGTGCCTGCAAAGAAGAGCTATCAAACCAGTGCAGAGCATTGCCAAATCAACGCCGCAGGCTCCCTTATCAGGTGATTGCACTCAGTTTCAAATAGAAAATCAAACCTCAATGTTTGACATACCTTAGCAGATAGCTGGTACCCTTTTTCTCTTAAAAAAAAATTGGGAGCGCTGCTTAGGGCTGTCACATTCAATGGAATTTGTGCAAACAACACCCTTACAAACTTGAGCAGTCAAATATTAATGCGAAGTGTGGGAGCCACAGGGGAACAGGGAAATATGCCTCTATGAAGGAGCTGCAATGCAGCAGGTTGGCATTTGCACCACAAAATATTGATGTTTTCTATACCTGGCCACCAGTCAGTGAATGTACAACTGCTTAGACAATATTATATTCACTGAAAAATGAAACAGAAGTGACCATTAGTTTTCTCCCAAGCCCACAAGCACAGCCAGTATTCTTCCTTGAATCATCAAAAGTAGGAGCATTACAAAAAGAGCGAGTTTGGGATAGCAGCGCTAAATATGGCCTGGTGAGGGAGGGTATAACATTGTCTCTCCACCTTTTTCATTGAGTATTGGACTCCAAGAACTCTCTCACTCGCCACGCCTCAGGATCTATTGTGACATGCAGAGTGTTGTTCAGTCCATTCTCCAAAATGTGGTTGCATTGTGGTGAACCATGCTGGGCCTCTTGATTTGGTAGGGAGTTATTAGAATGGCTGTCTCCCTTGGTAGGTAATGTTTGAGTGAAATGATGGCGCCCTAAGAGTGTCACAAGGGGCTCGGGTCCAGGTAAATATATATTCTTAGTACCTTGACCGCAATGCTTGAGAAGGGGCATGCATGGTTTAATTAAAACTGTCATCCGTGACAAAACCGGATAAACCCAGTCTCTGCTGAAGCAGCCATTGTTCTCCATGGAGCATAGCCACCACTCCATGGAGTAACCATTGTTCTCCTAGGAGCACAATTGTACTCCTAGGAGTCATTATACTGTAGCGAGTAGCACCTCCAACTATAAGTAGTAAGGGGTTTAGTATAGGAATACCTCAGTCGTTTCTATAGCCTCTCGGGCAGCGGCTGAGGTATGTTACATTACATTTATTAGAGATCACCTTAAACTAACATCTATTGTAGTTTCACTTAGGTAAATAATAAAGTCGTTTCTATAGCCTCTCGGGCAGCGGCTGAGTTTCACTTAGGTTTATTAATCCGGTCATGGATTTTCCCCACAGCATCATGGGCAAGTAAAGAATAATTGGATTGTTTGGCCTTACAAGTATACATTCGAGGTCGACAAAAAGACATCAGAAAAAGTCTGGAAAGTCAGTTGCCAGTAGTCGTTAGTGACTAGTGAACATCTAATTTTAAAATTATCTCACGGATATTGTCACATTTCTAAACATTTAACTTGAAGGCCCATCAGAATCTTTGTCCGTTTTGTAGCCTACTCATTTAGGCTAATTTCCTGAGCTCAAGTCCATATTTGTGAATAACTTGAAGTACTATACCTATGTCAATATGTATGTTATGAAACCAATTCCTCTCAAGATATCAACATTGTGGGCTGTACAAAAAAGTCACACATCAACTTCTGCAACCTACTCATGCGGAGAGAGGGAAAAAGGCTCAAATCCAGATTGTAATCTGGAAAACATATAATAGTCTATAATAGTATTAATATGCTATAGGTTACGGACTGTTTGATGCAACTGATCAAGTATTTCTCTGTGCTAGCGATGAGGCATTGATGAGATTGTGTTCAAATTGAATTTATGGAGGTTGGTATGGCTAAAGTTTGCTGTGCCATTTCCATGACTCACTGGCACGCAGATTCAAGTTGCAATCCAGCTGTCTGTCATTCAAATGAGGAGCATTGATATTGATACCCAAGCTATAACTTGTGTCAACGTCAACACACACCAAGCACAGTTAAACCTAGTCTTGTTCCCACTGCATTGTGAGGGCATGATGTTATTATAGAGCGGAGTTTGAAGTTGGAGGCAAAAAACATGTAAAATTCACTTGTGGGATCATGCCCTATAATATCTGGTGCATTTTGAAAGAGAATCAGAAAACAATGTTTGTAGTACTCTTTTTGATTTTCTGATGGAACTGAGTGCTGTCAGAGGGGTGAAATGGGACCAGTACAATGGCCAAACATAATCTAATTAGACTCATCTTTTGTTGGGTGTCTGGCTGACACTGAGGTTGCCACACGTGTGCCTCATGAGGCCCATGCATCCTTTTGCCTTTTTCTTTCTCCTCCTCCTCCAACAACTTCAGAAACATTAGACTGGGTCACATGCTACAACTCACATTGGCACTTATCATGATGTTGCAGGAGATCAGTACACTACCAACATCACAAACATCCAGTCTGTCACTCCCGCCAAGGATATTGTAGCAAAGTTGGATCCCGTAGATTACAATTGCTACTATGTACCGCCATGTATGGAAGGCACACAACAGGATATCTTCAAGAAGATCAACTGATCACACCGCAGCAAAGAACATTCTCTAGATTAAGGGCAGCCCTGGCGCGGGCAAGTCCACCATCGCTTCCAGCTTACAATCTTGGTTGATGAAGAAATGTCTCCTTGATGGATTTTTCTCTTTTTGCCAAGGTGATGCATCTTTGAGCAATCCCAATGTACTTTGGTGTACTATTGTGCACCAACTCGCTGATTTTAATCCAAAATTTACATCCATTATCATCAAGACTTTGAAGGCTAGCTTTAACATACAACTGTGAGGTAAGGGTATGGCTTTGAAATCACACAGTAGATCAGGGCTTTTACTTTTACTTTCAATTCTTTAGGTATCTGGTCATCATAGCGGATGATCCGGATGAGTGCAGCAATTTGTTGCAGGAATCTCAACAAAAAGCTTTATTGGATACCCTCACAGAGTGGTCTAAGGTACTGCCCTCGATGTTCAAACTAATTATCACCAGTTGTGACAATCACATCCCTCTCAATTTTTGTGAAGCCTGCCAATATATTGTTTTACCAACTGGAGACCAAATGACACCTACAGCTACAGATGATATCAATACCTTTCTTCACAAACCTTTTAAAGAAATAAGAAAGAGGTTTCCCTTTCTACAAAATACTGACTGGCCTGGAGCTCAGCTTATTCAGAAACTCGCAAGTCGTGCTACAAGCCTTTTTGTCTGGGCAGAGACTGTCATGAAATTCATTGGTCAAGGTGATCCCCAACATCAACTATTATTGATCCTTTCTAGGGAGTCTGTAGATGACCAACATAATGTCAATGGGATACTGTGCTATCTGGATAAAGTCCAAGAGGGATCAGTATGCAAGTACAGCGCTTCTGGGTATTTTTCCAATCAAACATCCTAGCAATAAACGGCCCATATCCTTTCTCTCTTTTCCTCCAATCTGGTCTAATGCAGAAATTCCATTTTTGAAAAGATAAATACTATAACAAGCAGGAAGGGAGGCAATGTGCTGGTTAAGCTCCTTGCACCAGTTCACCATATGCTTAAAGCCTCCTTGGTATAGTTGATGGAGAATATTGGGGGAAACGGATAAATGAATGTCACAATGAGGGAAGTTAAGCCAAAATGGCTTGTAAACACCACCAGAGACCTCTTTTTCCTTGCACCTCCGCTGAAATTGGTTGAAGGAGTTTACATTGAGTTTAGCATCATGAATAACTTCCTCAGTCCAGGTCTGTGTATGTGGCTCCCCAGCAGTAGATTCTGAGAGCTCAGAAGCAGGTCTTTTGCATTTGGGACATGTGCCATACTTTGTACATGTCACAAGACATTGTTCTGGATAATCTGCAACGTAGCAAGCCAAGATAGGATAGACTCTCCTTATAGCACCATCTCCCCCAATGACATTAATTCCTTTAATACTAGCTCTCTCCAAAGGCTCTACTATAATCCGCATTGACTCATGAAAAAGACGCTGAACCCTTGAAGACTTCTCCTTTACAGTAAGCTGAGATCCTGTGGCTATGTTGACTGACAGATATCCTATAAGTATGCAAGCATGTTGGCTTGGCTTACAATGTATAGTTTCTGGGTATGTAGCCAAGATAGACAGGGTAGGCTGATTTAGAATTAGAGAATTGTGTAAGCTGGGTTTTGTCCATTGCAATGATAACAGGGGCCAAGGCGGCCCCAGATGGTAGATGAGCCTATTCCAAAGATTCTGTAAGTCACTGTAAGTGGGAGATACAGAACCGTGCTCACCTGAATAGCATGCCACCATTTTTCCGTCCACATTTCATGATAAATTCTTGATTCTTTCCTTGCATTGGTGAAAATCATTTTTGGGCGATAGACTATATGTTTGGCATGTGCAGGGTTCCCAAGGAGAGTCCTGATGGCTGAAAGTACATCTCTATACTGGATAAGGTGTGTATCATTCAGAGTATCAGGAAAAGATATCATAGTTGATTTCCATTCAGCCCTAGATGGTATGCTGTAGTTAACAATCTTGTGTAACCCACATATATCATGGTAAGAAAGCCCCAGCTTCTCCCTGACCTGGCAATAGTTTAAGCAAGATATGTAAAAATCATGAAATCACTGATACCTGGTATACTTAATAGCCGATTAAAAGACAGGTGCCCTATACCATCTTGAATTGCCCAACATGCTACTCTTTAATCCATTCCTGAGGCAAAGGGGATGAACTTGGGGTCTGAAGCTTCACCCATTTCTACATCTTCACTATCCCCACCTGCTGCAATTAATTCTCTTCTCCACCTCTGATGTAAAGTCTTGTCCATGCTTATGACCTTGCCAGCTGTGGGATGTTCCACCTCCATATGTTCATCCTCATTGCCGCCTAGAACAATTGAGTGCTGATGAAGGGATGGGCCTGCTGTGTTCTCCCCATCATCAATAATGTCAGAATGTGTGATTGGAATGAATGAAAAAAGATCCTCTTGCAACTCCTGTAGTACTTTGCCAATTGCCTCCTTGGTATGCTCATCATCTATTGACATGTCTAATCCACTAGCGTCTTCTCCATCATCTTCTTGTGACTGCGGGATAGCAAGTAATTGTAACTTTCCTTTGCAGTACCACAGGCATTTTTTTTACAGAGCCAAGATATGTGTTGACAGCATGAGCTGTTGCAAATAACCTTCCACATCTAGCTGGACACATATAGGGAGCATTTCTGTTAACCAATGTACAATGATGATATATAGGCAAGGAAATAATAGAAGAAATGGAAGTCTGAATAATAATGATGCTCTGAGTCACTGATAAAATGAATCTGCAATGGGTCTTGCTGTTACGCACGAAGTGCTTAACAAAGTCTGAGGGTTCGTCGAGGTTTTATAAAGAGACTTATCTGAAGACAAGTTCGAGAACATAGTTCTGAGGGGAGGTCTTCCAACGAGAGTTGGTCTTCTTCTGAGTAGAAGTCTGATCTTAGGAGTCTAGCTTTGTAAGCGTAAACTGCGTAGAATCGTATTAGAGAATACTACTGCTGTTACATGGTATTTATAATGGAAAGGAATCGGTGATAGGAGTTAGGTCCTATCTAGGGCAGGTCCGTCTGTTGAAGACTAAGTACTATAATAGGTACTGTGAATGCGAGAGGAACAGAAGTGTATGTGAAGGAAATGAGTCATCGGTCCGATGGTATAACCAATGAGTAAAAAGAAATGAGTAGTCCTTAAATGTCCAATAGAGATCGTAACACTTGCTATTTAGGGCAATGCAGCAATTACTGTTATAAGTAGTTCATTTATGTGCTAGTTAAAGTATAAAATATACAAAGTAGAAAACAACCACAGTATAAAGAACACAATTCAACATAGAGCAATAAAATAAGGAATATGAGTGATAAAAAGCAATTTAAGAAGCATGATGTTGGCATTTGTGATGAGCAGAGTCTAAGAGGCTAGATCTGTAAGCATTCAGAGCACTTTCTTTTCTTTTAAGAGCATTAAGTGCCCGAGTACGCACCCAAGTTGTCCCCATGAAATCTGATTAAGTTGATTTGGAAGGTTTGACTGATGCAGAATACCTAGGTATGCTCCCCCCACTACTCATCCCTGCAATGTGCGTGACCACAAGTAGAGCATAGAATTTGAATCTATCATCACTTGAGCACCAGAGATCCAAGTGAGGTATAAATCCCTCTGGCCTTGTCAATGGCTGTCTCAGATGTGTCAATTTCTTCCTGCTAGTTTGTATAACATTGAGAGCATCATGAAAGATCTGCAAAATGGAGTCATGGTGGTGGGTGTCAACACCAGGAAGGGGGCGGGGCCAAGTTTGATGAACCTCTTGGGAATGAACGTCGCAGAATCAAAAATTGTGCTATGCAACCGTTCAAAGTAGGGGATCATAAATTCAAAGTAGATTGAAATATGTCCGTCAAGGAAACTACGGAGGTTATCAGCCTTGCCAAATATTGTGAATTTGTGATGCGCTGCATCTGTGCAGGTGAACTTAGTGTCAAATTCATGATTGAGCCATTTCCTGATTACCTCCCGCTCTATAAACACCTCGTCCTTGAATTGGTAGGGCTGCTCTAGTAGAATGCACATAGCTAAACTAATGCAATAGAAGGACTCAAGACCATGATGTGCTGCGTGCTGAATGGGCTCTCCAGGTTGTGCATTCTGTATTTCTACAGCCATGAAGGGCTCTGTACCCTGAGCAAATAATGAGAATCAGTTAGTACAGGCGGTAGCTTCAAAAACAAAACTTACTGTGTGTTCAAGGACGTGGTTTCCATTATCCACTGCCCACCCCTGGCATGCCAAGCGCTCCAAGGTCTTGTGAGCAGTACCTGTAGCAACCTCTATTCCCTACCCTGGAACATTATGGCCATGTATTAAAGTGTTGGCAAAGGAAGCTTGGGCCTGCTGGATTATTCTTTATTGCTGTGCCACCCTTTTCAGCATGGCATCCAACATCTTGGCCGGGAAATCATGGCGGGCAGGATCCTCCTCTTCAGAGGAAGCTTCAGATGACCCCTCATCAAATACAGCATCTTCTTTATCAAACTGAGATAGATCCCTAGTGGACTGAGAATATTCCTGCTCCTTTATCTTTGGCATTGCAGCCGCAAACCCCCAATCTGCAAGCAATCCACGACGGATACACTCATGAGGAGGCCTAACAACCTGCTTTGACCTGCAAAGAAGGCCAATCTGAGTTTTTTTGGTCAGCAATGAGTGAATTACTTGTAGAACCATCTTGGTACAAGATCCTGACTGGAAATGTATTACCCACAAGGGAAGAATAGTTGATAGAGCTATATGCCATCTTGTGGTCTTGTGCACCCATTAGCAACAAGGTACACATATAATATTCAAATTGTTGACACACTTGTGATATGGTCAATTGTAACAACAAAAAGGTCCTTCAAACAGTTGAAGTATGTTATAAGAGCTCCAGCTGGAGTGGTAGTAGCACGTATGTGTGCTCAAAGCTGATATGGCTGACAGGGATCTGCAAGAGCCATGTTTCTCTGTTTGGCGCTGGTCTCAATGGTTTTAATAGAGTTTCATATGTTGCTTGTACAATTGTACTGCGGAAGTGGGTGGCCATCCACTCCCTCTCCCCACTGCTTTGAAACTGGGACCTTCTCCTCGCCAATCAAATGAGGTACTCCTTATATGCCCTTGGCCTCAAGTAAATGCAAGGTTGTACCCTCTGTTAAAAGTCAGCGGACATCATGCCAGGTATCTTTGATGATGATATTGACACCTAGTAAGGCAGAAAACTGAGGGGAATCAAAGTCGGCAAAGGGAGGGACTTGGGCACAATGGACAACCATACCATGTCCATGAATACTGTTCATAATAAAGAGAATGCAATGCACTTTGAGTTCACCAAGCACTAATGTCTTAATATGTGTGAGGCTAGCCATGACATCATACCCCATGCAAATGTCTGTGCTGTGAGTAAAACCCAAGACAACATGTAAGAATAAAAGTGGCTGCTGATGGACATCAATTTCAGATGTTACAATAGAACCACCTTGATCTATGTAAAAGAGAGTGAATGATGCTCCACGTAAAGCAAAGCCTAAGATATGGAGCCAGCGATCTTGTGCAGCTCTGAAAAATGATGCATGTCCCATCAGCTGAGAAATTTGCTTATGGAGGGGCAATGAGTTTTTCTCCCTGTCCTTGAGCTCAGCCAGTGCATAGACACTCCTCTAATTTGCTGGTGGAAGAGCTTTGGGATTGGTGGGGTTGTCAGAGCTAGCACTCATCAAGACTAGGTTGGGACACTGTTTGCCACCACCGTCTTCTACTGAACAGACTGAGTTGGCAGTGGTCCACCATCTCAAGGAGGCAGTTGCCCTGCTTGATAATGCAGAGTAGACCTTCAGTACAATGTTGTTAAGGAATGCTGCACACTCATCCTCCAAACCTGGACTCCATGGTTTTGTAAAGTCTAGACAGCCACTCATTATTGTCCAGGATCTATCCTTGGTGCTTCAATAACCTGCATCATGTAACAAAACCAGCATACTGTATAGCATGGCTTTTGTCCCATATTGACCTGTGAAAATGTGAGATAAAGGGAAAATTACTGGGAGGAAATCCTCCAGTGTGCAGTACACTTTAAGGGGCACAGCCTCTTTCTTCAAAAGAGGGTCCATAAACCTATGACAATATTGTGTTGGGCCTTTTATAGCAAACCCACTAAACTAAATAGCAAGAAGACAAAGGCTAGGGAGTCAGTGTGGGGCAGCAAAGTCAAGTGAAGTACACAAGCCTTTGGATGTGTGAAAGGTGTGGTGCAGCGGAGCAGCAGCGGCTATTGGAGTAGTTTATAGGCTACCCAGGTGCAATGTGATCAAAAAAGAGACTTACCAAAGCATTTAGAGATGAGGTGATGACAGATATTGATCCAGTAGTAGACATCTCAGGGATGAAGCTGTTTCAGAACGGCGGGTGAAAGCTAGTAAAAAAAGAAGGACTCATCTACCACCAGCATATTCACTATTCTGCCTTTGCCATCTCCAGAGGGAGTTCTGCATTGAGCTTAAATTAATCTGGATGTTTCCCATGTCTGTGGGCAGGACAATTCACAATATATTCATAGAGCTTTGGCTTTGGCAGTACATCCTAGAAAGGGAAGTGCTTGAGTGCACAAGCACTTCCCATATGTAGTAGTGGAGAGTTCTTGGCAGTATGTCCCAGAAAGGAAATAATGTGATTAGATTAAATTCCGGGTGTTTCCACTATACAAGTGGCTTGCACTTTTTTTTGAATTTAGACCAGAGTATAATAGCAAGGGGAAAGAGTGAGTGTCATATCCATACTGGAAGACGGAACTCTGGCATTTGCAAAGGAGTTATTCTCCGGGCCCAAAACCCCCGAACCATTGGTATACTCAGGATTACGTTCCTCATTGTCTGCCGGTCAGCATAACTCTATGCTCTATTCCCATATGGTACTCCGGTTGTCCACTCCAATACTCCTGCACTGGACTTCTAGTCAGCCATACATTTCTCCTGGCACATTCTAGTCTAGTATTCCTCATGGACTCTGTAGTTAGACCTTATGATACACTCCTTGCACATACATTCTCCTCTTGCTAGATAAGTGTCCACATGGAACTCTGTACCTACATTATGAGTTACTCCTTACAAGCTCCTGCTCCCCCAATAGTATATAAGCTGTAACTCCTGTACTCCATTCCTGCAGTTCAAATATCAACTAGATTCCCTCGCTTTCTTACCAGTCCTTTTCTAAAGTCCTTTCCAATCCTTCTCTAAAGGATCTTTACTCTGCTTCCTTTTATCCTCTACTTCTCCTCCATCCACTTCCAATGAGTTAGAGACCAAGGTCCGTGGAAGGGTCTAGTGCATGAGCTAAGCCAATTCCCCATCTTGTCCTCCGTACTCCATTACTCTGTCCTTGTACTCCACAGCTCTGTTACTCCAAAGAGGCCACAGTTCTAACAGTATATTTGAACTGCCACTTCCTGGACCCTCTGTATCCTCCATGGTCAAACATGTACAAAACATCTCTCAGGGCAACACCAATTTCCTTATGGTTTCTGCTCATCAACCCCTAGAGGCATGATCAATCTCCATGGCTCCAGAACGCCCAACCTCACCTTGTACCCCCAGGGGTTCCCCAATCCCTCCCGACTCACCTTGTACCCCGGCCCCCGCTCCGGATTCTCCAATACCCGCTCTTGCAGATTTAGATTTACTGTAACAACCAAGAGTTTGTATACTCTGGCGCACAACTCAGACAAGCAGTAGTGAAGTGAGTGGGAGTGGTTACCCCTTATGATAGGACTGAGTTAGTTATGGGTAAACAACAGGAGGACTCGCTGAGGAGTCTCCTTGATCTATTGGGGTATATATACTATTACAGACTATTTGTATATGTGTACTATACAGTTGATGAAGGCAGTGGCTGATGATGTCATGGGGCACAGCCCGTGTGACCAGCTCCACTGCGTGAGAGACTTTGTAGTTAAGAATAAAGGAAAGCAGTGCAGCGCAAGAAAGTGGAGATTGAACAAAATGGAAAGTGCTGCATGGCACAGTGTGTGAAAACTACAAAAGAAAGTTAAAGTGGAGAATGAAATTTAAAGGTCCAAAAATTGTTTATTGTAACATTTACCCCGTATGGAGCTGGAAAACAAGGATGCCGAAGACCTTACTCTGGCTCAAGCAGTTGCATTGCTTGCCTGATCATCCAGACATACCCCTGACAGCATCTCCGCATGCACTAATATCAGAGAGCCGGACACCTTTGATGGCTCCGACCCCCAAAAACTCTGCTCCTTCATTATGCAGTGCTAACTTAATTTCAACAACCGTCCAAGCGCATTCCAAACTGACTGCGCAAAGATCAACTACACTATCTCCTTCCTTAAGGGAATGGCGTTAGATTGGTTTGAGCCGGATATCCTGACCCCAGACAACCTCACTCCCATTCCTATCTGGATGGATAACACCCATTGGTGTGACTTTCTCATATTGAAGCATCCATTAAAACTGATTGCAAGTCATTGTTGACAACCTATCTCACATTAAGCTAACTAGTAAGAGTTCTCTATAGATTAATGATCTATCTTATTAAAGAATGATGTTATTTTGTTCTCCTGCCTTTTCCTGTATTCTGTGTAGAAATCTGGGGAATACACCTGACACCCACCATGCATAATATGTCCACCAGGTCTAGGGCCTTTAGAAACATCTGGAAATTCTTGTGTCCCTCAACTTGCTGCAAGACTCAAGGCAACTCAATCAGACACACCTGGAACTTCACAAAATTCTGAAAGCAGAATTTGATCATCAACATCTGGACTAAACAACAGGAGGCATCACCCATACCCTGGAGACGCTGGAAGGTCAAGGCCTTGCCCTAGGAATAGAATGCCCTTAGTCAGTAGGTCCCAATGGAGGCTTGGGGAAGATTTGGTATGTACTTTGCGTGTCTCATCCAAGGCCTTCATATCTGCTTTGGCATGCGGCCATTTTGACTCAACATAATCCAACCCAGCTATTTGGGTCTCGAGCATCAAAGCCGTTGTTTGCCAAACTATTTGGTGTAGTGCTGGAACACTGGAGGGTGCTGTGTTTGCGTGCACAGATTTAGTAGGGCAGGAAGTGGGCGTGTCTTTGATGTTAATGTTGAGTGTTATAAATCTAGCTATGAGGGCACAAAGGTGAGTCCAAATTGTTAGTTTATTGACCTTTGTTTTCGAGTTTTTTGTTTTTTTGAATGCAACAGGACAGGCCATGACATTGAAAGATGTCTATGAGACAAAGATTGCGCATCTGGCATCTAGTCCATCTGAGCAGACATTCTACCAATGGGTATCAGCCTGCTGCAAATACCTGCAGATTACTGCAGGTGGGTCAGGGTACTTACTAGCTATCATTGCAGGTCTTGACCTTCACTGGATGCTGAGCCAAGTGAGCAGCAAAGTTGTTTGTGATATGGCCAAATGTGTGAGGCATCCCCCAGCAGATGGTAAGTCCCATAGCACCTATCCTATTCCCTTGCTAACCTTCTTATTTCTGTAGCTTATCGTGTATTGATTTGTTCACGGATTATACCCACTGTTTGTCAATTGCGGGAGCTGCTTCCTCTTAGCCTCCCTGCCTTTTTCCTCAAGGATACAGATCAAATCTTTGATTCAATTCCTCTCAGGTGAGTTTTTTTGTTTTTTTTCCACTATTCTATTAACTACTTTGATTCATATACAGTAAAATTGCGCTTCCAAAATGATTGCTAGATGATCAAAGGGCAGCCCTTGTGCCATGTATGCCAACCTAAAAGCATACATAAATGACTTACCTTTGTTCATCAATGGAGGAAATTGCACACAGCAATTTTAATGTGTTCATTTTTCTTGATGGAATAGGTATGGTATATCAGTAAGTTGTTCTATGTCATACATATATGGTTTGCGCTTTCTGAACAAAGTGTATGCATGGTCATGATGCTCCAGCAAAGCATCCAGATAGACTTGTTGGTGCCAACCAGAGTCAATTTTTGCCTTACCTATCCAGTGAAACTGAACAAAATGAACAGCTTTACTTTAACCTTCAAGCAGCCTTTGGCAAGGTGTTTGAGTGGGTTGAATCAAAGGTTTTTTTTTTTTCTGTGGACATATATGATTTGAATATATTTTCTTACAGATAGAACATTGTCTTCCTCAGAAATACTCTACTCTAGTCAAGGTAGCAGATATTTTTAAGGCTTATGCTTAGTTTTACCTATTGGTGATTTTTCTGGGGGTGCTCTTTTTATGTATGAGCAAGGGCTTGTTTTTGAGTTGTATTCTGGGGATTTTGTTATATTTTGCTCTGAAGAGACTACTCACTTTAACCTTGACTATCAAGGGGAAAGTTTCCTTTGTTTTACATACAGATGGACAGTTTAGATTTTGGTTAGTGACAGGAATAGTTGGGATGAAAATCTATTCTTCTATTCATACTACATAATTTTAGCTAGAATTTTCTTTGTTTTCTTGATTTTTAGGGACACACACAAGCATACAACAGCCATCTATCTATATGTGTTTGTGGGTCCATATTGGGTTTATTTATGGTTCTTTTTCAGTCTACATATTGACTCTCTTTCTTTCTGGCTGTGATTTGCTGTTTGCTCTCCTCTTTCTAGTTGTTGCTGTTGTTGTCTTGTCCCATCTTATTAAAATGGCTAGATTTACATGTTCCACTAAGACAAAGGGAAACATTTCTGCCAAAAAAATCCCCAGAGCTCCATCCAAGAGTCCATCTCCTCCATTGTCAACTCAGCCCCCTGCAAGGAAAAAGGTATTCACCCTTCTATGCTTGGGCTTATATCTTAATATTTCATTTTCAGGCACCTACTGGTACTAGGGGATCTGAAGGGATGTCAAAAGAAGATGAGAACCTCCTTAAGACTCTTTTGGACAAAATGAAAGCAGTTGAAGCAGCTGATATAGAGGTAGCCAGTAACAGTATATATTTTAATTTCCAAGACCAATAACTAATTATTATTCTTAGCTATATGAAAAAGAGCTGCTGACATGCTAGCACAAGAAGTCAACGGAGAAGAACACAATAGAGATGATCTAGTTGAAGATGAAAGCTCTCAAGTAAAAAAAAAATGTATATCAGACCCTTTCAGTGACCAGGAGGAAGATCAAAAACAGCACAAAGGCAACAATTCTCCTATAAATATGATAAATGATATCCTAGATGATATGTCTGATGACTATCCTCAGCCTATCAACTGTCATTCAAACACTAAAGAAGACAATGAAGCCCCTCTGGACCAAGATAGCAATCATGGTAGAGCCAACTCTCAGTCTTTGGATAATAACGCAGTAAGTGTTCCTTCTCTTTCATTTTCAGACTTGCTTATACTATATTTTATCAGGTTGCTCAAAGTTCAACAACCACTTCCAACTATGGATCAACTTCATGCTTGTCATATAGTCCTAGTCCTAACATTTTACATCCCTCCATCAAACCATCATCCTCCAAGGCTAAGCTAAGTTTTATAGCTTGCTCAATTTTTAAATATATTGCTAGTTTTGGTCAGAAAGCTATGAGGACATACATTGACACTCAAAATGGCTTTTCAAACCCTCTCAACTGTCAATCCATCTGCTGGGACTTATTAGTTAAAGCTACCAGTGAAAACAAATATGCTGCCTCCTTGGCCGACAAAATGAAGATTTTACAGGATGACCAAGACTTGAAAGCTCAAGTATTGGAATATATGAGTACAACTTATTATAGCAAACATATATTAACTATTAATTGGAACAGGTTTGGAAAGGTTGCACGCAGGTTAGAGGAGAGTTTGTTTCTAAGGCCAGATTAGGTATTCAATGCAAGTATAAACTTCAAGGTATGTTTTTTGTCCTCATAAATATATATACAATCTGATTTGTTGTATAGGATAAAACATCTGACGTTACGCAACCATGGAAAAACAACATATTCAAAACGCTCTTTCAAAGTCAGTGGTGGGGACCTAAAGGTAAAAAAAGGAAATATAGTAAGAAAGACAACACATATCTCCATACACTTGCCCTGGTAGCATGCTGTGTAAGGTTTTTCTTACTCTTTTATTCATAAATTTAACCATGTATTTAGGTTGAATATGCTTTACTTAACACTATCAACAATAGAATATGTAGAATTCTCTGAGAATTCATTTGCTCCAAAATATGTACAATTTTGCTTCTAATTATTTCATATATTTGCCTCATTTAATTCATAGATGGGAGCATTATATGAATCTAATTCAAGGGTTCAGAGAATGTTCCCCAACATATCTGGCAAGTGTGTTTGGTGATATTGAAGAGTTTGTATGGTAAATTGTTCTCTCTAGTTTTTCAATTTTCTTTTTCTTATATTTTACAGGGGCAGTCCCAGTACTTTGACTTTGTCTGAATCCTCCCATCTCATCTTTGACTTCAATGCTTTAAAGGAGGCAGCTAGGGCTTTTAAGCAGTAATCTCATATAGTTGTAGCTGTCATTTATATATTGCACTTTTATAATTCATTGATATTTTGACTGTTTTGACATTTTGGAAAATGAGTGGAAGTGAAATGCTCTGGATTGATCTAGTTAGATTTAAATGGTGTTTAGAGGAATTAGAGTCATTTATATCAATCCATTGCAAGGTCATATACAGCTGGGGTGATTTTGATATATTTGACTTTTTATACTATAGGCAATTCCTATATGCTATAAGCCTGCATATTTTTGCATCCGGTGCACTATAGCAAGGGACTTTGTAAGATTTGTACTTACAGATCTGAAAAGATCTGAGTGATGTTTTTGCTATAATAGCATATTTTTGGCACTTTATTGCATTTATAGCCATCATATTTTCCTGATGAAGTAGTACATGTACAGGGAAACACAAAGAGAGACAGTGCTGCAGGCATCCTAGAGAGTAGCACAGTGATATACAAAGGGGGGAAGGTGCCCACCCACATGAGAATACACATATAGGCAGACTACACGGAGTATGAATTATCTTGCTGTGCTGATGACCAGCATTTGCCACTGTCAGAGTTTAACCTTGAGGACAATATGAGGCACCACATCCACAAAGAACAAAAAACTATTGCCCTCAACCTTCATCAACATGGTATCCTCAACTGCCAAATTTTGTGCTACATAGGGATATGTGAGAGAACCATTAGGAGGATTTGCTAAACCTACCGAGAAACTAGAGGGTTCAAAAACATACTGGCATGCCTTAGAAATTGACCAACCTAGACGCAATGGTGAGTGCCCCTACAATTAATATAAAAAGTCACTAACACTAACGTTCAAGAAGTTCTTAGAAGGCTGTATAGAAATACATGATGATTACTGAGTTGCAGGACCAGCTATGAGAAATTTGTTGAGCCCAGTCTCATTGACAACAATATTGAGGCCTTTGCAGCAGCAGGGACTTACAATGAAAAAGGTGAGTCTCTCATCATATATATCAGACAGTCTCTGCTTAGACTCATTTTTCCAGGTGACTTGTTCTACTTGTGAGCATGATGAAGACAATCATGCACTTTGCAAGATGTTGGTCAGCAATTATTAACAAGCTGAACAACTGATTTTGTGGATCAGACCCACTTCAATCAGATTACCTTACGTTGTCTGTTTACACAGGCACCATGTGGAGGTTGTGCTCGCTGTTATAATAGGCACCCCAGTACCTACTTTATGCTTTGCTTTTACTGTATTTTTATTTTTCATTTTCCAAATCACATGTCTGATCATGTAACCATTTATTTTACTTTACTTTTCGGACTTTTCATAGTCACATGGCTGATCATGTGATGCAACACCTGACCAGTATCTAGACTCACCATGTGACTGATCACATGCTGAAGATTGGACTTTAAACTATATTTACCAACTGTATAGTACTGTAAGGTATCAACCTGATTAGTCATACCTTATTACTCAAATTTTGCACTTTATTGCATTTATAGCCACATCATATTTTCCTGATGATAGAGTTGACCTTCAGCTGCTTAGCAGGGCTTCTCCTAGTGTTATTGATCTGTCGCAACCGTTGTGTGTGCTTCAGCATCCAGGCTGCAGGTTCATGTTTGTCAACTTTGATGAGTTTACTGCCAACAGTACACCCGTCGCTCTTGAAGACCAATATATCAATCATGGAAAAATTGTGATAGAAGTGTTCCCCTCTGGAAACATATCCTGGAAATATGTTCCAAAGGCTGTATTGGAGCCTACAGTGGAAGGTGAAGGATCTTGGCCCCCAATGTTACGATAACACAATTTCCGGACATCTCCTTTCCTTTTTATTCTCCGCTTTAACTTTATACTTTAAGTACCACGCGGCATTTCCCTTTCTCGCGCCGCGTTGCCTTTCTTTTACTTTTAGACTTAACTCTCTCACGCAGTGGAGCTGGCCATACGGGCTAGACCCTATGACATCATCAGCCACTGCCTTCATCAACTGTATAGTACACATGTACAAACAACCTGTAGTAGTATATATACCCCAATAGATCCAGGAGACTCCTCAGCGAGTCCTCCTGTTGTATACCAACTAACTCACTGCAGCCCAAGGGGTACCCACTCCCCATCTTCCACTACCTTTATAGTGTGTTCCTGTGTGCGCCAGAGTAACTAACTCTTGGTTGTTACACCCAAGTGGTTAACCTAGATGGGTGGGTTCTTTCTCATGTGTTCTTGTTTGATCTCTTAAAATCTACAGTGAACTTGTCTATTGTACGATAAATTGATGGGACCTATAAAAGTTAGATCCTGCTTACAAATGTTACATATATTAGCACTCCAAATTTCCACAATCACTCAATCTGTGACAACACCAACCAAACACAGTCTTGGGGCACTGGAGCACAATAACAACAACAACTCAGTGGAGGAAAGGGAATGTACAACTCAATAAGAGAGGGAACTTGCCATACTAATGTTGGTAGACACTAGAAGAGGACTTGCTAAGTCCCTCCCCATGTATTACTCCTGTATATATACTAAAATACATGAGGTACTGTACAGTTGTAAATAAAGTTTAAAGTCTGATGTCTAGCATGTGACTGGTAACATGATGAGTCTAGACACTGGTCAGGTGATGTGTCACATGATGGGTCATGTGACTATGAAAAGTCCGAAAATGTAAAATAAATGGTCACATGATCAGTCATGTGACTTGGAAAAAGAAAAGTACAAAAAGTGAAGCGTAAGTAGGTGCTGGTATGTCAATTGTAACACCATCATCCTACCTACATGAGAACCCCACACTAACAACAGCAAGTAGTGCAATGTCTGTTGACAATGATAACACTGCAGAGTCTGGAAGCAATACTAGTAAGCTCCCTGGTATATCACATGGACCTGGAAAATGAAAATGTAAGTCTCCTAACACGGCTTCCTCATGTATGAGATTTAATAAACCTTCTTGATAGCACTGGAGACAGAAGAGTATGGTACTTATGTGGATAAATTTAAAGCTTCAAATACAATGTTTCCTCCTCAACCAGGTCATAAACAAGCTCATGATCTTGCCCCAAGTGACATGACCTGGTGATTGACCCGCAGTACCTTCAAACAATGACAGAACTTGAACATGGCTGAGGATACATGATGAAAAAATATGGAGATAAATTGTTCGAGGTTTAACGATAAAAAAGTGTTAGCAGAAGTGGAAGCACTTGCTGCTATGATGCAAGAGGAGCAGAGGAAAACAGTGGTTTGTTTGTAGCAAGAGGAGCTACAGAGAAGTAATAGGGAATAGGAGAGGCTGAGGAGGGAAAAACAACAGCATAATTTGAAGAAGAGGCAGGTCCTAGCAGATGGTCTGGATGGCCAGTGGATAGATTTGTGTGCTATCCTCTGGTTCATCAAAGTTTGGGAGTTCTTCAATACATTCAATATCTCACCCTCGACTAAAGAAGTCCCTTGGCCTATTCTTGCGCACCCTAGCACTGTGACACTGCAAAATATCCACTGGGACAGTGTAAATGCATTTTTTGTCAAAGCGAGATCTTTTCCTGAGTTCCAGAACATCCTCAATATTGCAAAACAGAAGTATCAACTGGATAAGTGGGCAGGACAATTGTTGGATATCTCAAATGACACACTCAGATCAAGAATTTTGAATGTAATTACTATGCCTGCAGTGGTAACAAATAGTATTGAGTGTGAAAAGACTACTGCAAAATATACTGTATGCACTGATGTTGTACACTGCATGTGCAATTACCAACTGATCAGTGGGTGGTGAGTGGGTGATCAGCAGGCAACAAGTGGGCGGCACATTTCATTGGCCTTGAAATGACTTATTTCAATTGTTACCAGAATGGGAATGAAATTTTTTTTCTTAATATGACTGAACACATGAACTAAAAGTACATATTTGCACTGTCATTTAAGGTGTTTTACATGGCAAAACAATCAAATATCCAAGTAAATTTTGAACATTATAAACACATTTCACCTGGGTTAAATCCAAGACAATAATATATCTTGAATGTATTTGTCTATTGATGGAAAATATGAACTTTCTGGTAGGTTATATGGTGATATAAATATTATATTTAGGTTACAATTTTCAATCACATTTTGCAGGGTGAAAATTCTCCTCAATCTCAAAGTGCTAGTGACAGGACAACCCAACCGTGGGAGTGACAGGGCGTGTGATAGGGGCCGTTACTGGTTACCAGGGAGTCACGGTGCGCATTATATAAGCTACTAAGACGTGGCTTAAGATATCTATCAGACGTCTTCCTTTTAGCCAAACGACCAAATCCTTGAGATGGTTGATTCAGAAACCAACTTAGGAAATGCAAGTAAATCTGTTCAGGTTAAACTTGTACTATTAGGTGAGCAGTCTGTGTCTCACGGAACCACGATGGTCATCCTAGGGCAAAACCGATTTTCGGAAACTATATTTTTCTTACCGAAACATCCCTACTGATTTGCATCCCTTCTTTATTGCAAAGGTGAAGCTGCTGTTGGCAAGTCATCGGTGGTTCTTCGTTTTGTATGTCCTTTATATCATGTGGTGTTGTTACCCATAATAACGCCCCGCTTACCCAGGTAACAAACGAGTTTCAATCAAACAAAGAGCCAACTATTGGCGCTGCATTTCTGACGCAGAAATGTCGCCTTGAAGACCGGGTTTTACGCTATGAAATTTGGGATACTGCTGGACAGGAACGCTTTCATTCACTGGCGGTGTGTAATTTGATGATTACACTGGGATTTGTTTGAATTCATCGCCTATCAGCCCATGTATTACCGAAATGCTCAAGCTGCTGTAGTGATTTATGACGTTACGAAGGCGTCTAGTCTAGACAAAGCCAAGTCTTGGGTGAAGGAGCTACAGCGGCAGGCACATCCCAATATTGTCATAGCGCTTGTTGGGAATAAAATTGATCTCGTCCGCCCGCTTTCTCTCTCTCTCGGATTCACGCCACATCCTGACTCAGAAGAAGAAGCTGATGATGCTACCGCTACCCCCGACGGAACCACTAGTGGTGATGCTGGGCCTGTTTGTTTACGACAAGTGCCACGCGAGGAAGCTCAAGCTTATGCCGCAGAGACTGGTTTATTGTTCTCCGAAACAAGCGCTAAAACTGGCGAAGGCATAGTCGAGGTCTTTACTGCCATCGGTATGTGATTTCAAACTTGGAAGATTTATATTAGATTGAACATATTACAGCGAAGAAAATACCCATAGAACATATAATAGCTTCCTCACGGGGTAGTGTAGGACGGTTTGATGTTGCAGGAAGTCGTACTGTTTCTCAAGAAGGTGGGGTAAATCTTGATGAGGCTGCAGTCAAAGGCACTAGTAGTTGTAGCTGTTGAGCTGGCTTCGGTATTGAGACAAGGCTTGTACCTTTCGGGAGCATCTTATTAAGTCCAAATTCGTTGATATATTATTGCTACTATGCAAGTGCAAAACTCCACCAAGCCTGGAACAAAGGGTAGTAGCAGACTGAGCGTAAGGCACAGTGGGGGATGGATATGTATTACAAACAAGACTATGGCTTCATGTTTGGATGACTAACTAACTGCCCAGCATATGGCCTGACTATAAAGCTTGTTCACTGAGAGCTTGTCCAGACAGCCAAGCTTCAGGAAAATCATTGCACTCACAAGGTGCTGAGTTGCTGAACCTGCACCCCTTGGGTAATCTGAGTCTGTGATGCATACAATGTTTGAGTGTATAGCTTACAGAAAGGAACACATATGGTACAGGGAGGGGCACCTTACAATAATGAAGACTGATTGTAATTATGTATCATTATCACTGAAACTAACAGAAACCTGCTGGTCTGCATGTCTGCCAGGTGGGCCCTTGCCCACATAATGTGACAACCCCTGACATGGATAGGGTGTCCAAAGTCCAGTTTAGTCCAGTCCAGCTATGTCTCAGGTTGCATTAGGAAAAATGGAGGAATCCACATGGCACTATGTAGCCTATATTGGCCAGGTAGCACATGTGAATATCCCTGCCCCTGCCCCCCCCCCCCCCCTTTACATAGTGAAACCCAATGTATCCTATATAGTGCAAAATTTCCAATGAGCCTCACCCATTCCAAATTTATTGTATTCATTCTGGTATATATAACTACTAGTATCTACATATGTAAATTCCTGAACTAGGTCTGCAACAGCATTGCCTCTGCTGACAAGATATGTGGTGCAACAGGTTTTGATTGGACTCCAACATGAAGCCTATGACATGGCATAAGTTGTTACAATTGAAGTACCAGTACCTACTTACACTTCACCTTTTTCGTACTTTTACTTTTATTTTTCCAAGTCACATGACCAGTCATGTGACCATTTACTTTACGTTATATTTTCGACTTTTCATAGTCACATGACTGGTCATAGGACTTCAGCAGGCATGACTGCTCTTTTAGGAACTTGTGCAGGTACTCTAGGGGGTAGACACATTTGTGTATTTGCTCCCCCACTCACTCCTGAAGGTGTTGAATCACTCCTTGGAGGTGTTGTATGCCTTCTAGAAGCTGATCCAATGGACAGGCTGTCTAGCTGTATTTGGACTTCTTCCACATCAGCTGGCTGTATGTTGAGGGGCTGTCCTCCCACTGACTGTAACTCTATTTTGGCTTTCCGTTCTGAAGATGGCCAGTGTTCAGGTCTTGGTTGTAGAGACTGTTGTGGAGGGTGTCTTAGCTGATCAGGTGCTCCCACTGCTCTCGGAACGTCTCCACGGAGGTATTGCCCCACTGCTCTTGGAACATCTTCATGCTGATATGGTTCCATTGCTTGTGGAACATCTCCTTGGAGATGTGGTTCCATTTGCAATTCATTTGGATCTCGGATCTGAGGGTCAGGATCATCCTCTTCCAATGTTTTTTGGTCTGGATAGTGAGCATTCTCTGGAATGAGTCCCTCCCACTGATCTGTGCTAGTGTCTGTGTTCCAGGAGCAGTGTCATCCTTTTGTACCTTTCCGGATTCATTGAATATGACATACCAACTGGAAAACACAGTCCGTTTTTCAGTGTCTAGGAGTTTGTAGGCTTACTTTCCATGTGTGTAGCCAATCATTATGGCTTTGCACCCCTTGGAGTAAAACTTCCCTTGCCTTTTGTCTTTCGGAATCAAGGCATATGCTTGGCATCCGAAAGGGCAAAACAAAGTTGGATCAACTCTCCTTTTAAACAGTATTTCATTTGGGGTCTTTCCATGGAGTCCTGATGCTGGGCTGCGTGCTGTGATATATGCAGCCGTTTGCATGGCATCTACCCAAAATGACTTTGGGAGCTTGGAATCATGGAGCATAGTGGTTGCTAATGTAGCCAATGTCTGATTCATGCGTTCTGCAATGCCATTTTGTTCCAGAGTATCTGCAGCTGTAGTTTCTTGGATGACACCATCTCCTCAGAGTTGATTTTTGAATGCATTGCCAGTATATTCTCCTCCCCCATCGCTCCAGAGGAATTTTGTGTATAGTGGAGTGAAGTTTTCTTCTCCCAAATGAGTCCGGAAGAATGTTTGGACATCTTCTTTCTATTGCTTGTATCGTTCCAGTGCTTCACTTTTATGTTTTAGGAAATATATCCATGGAAATTTGGAGAAATCATCTACAATGATAATCCAGTACCGAAAACCCTCCCTGGAAGTTGGTTTGATTGGTCCTCCAACATCTGTGTGCACAATTTGTATGGGGTGCTTGGCTCGGCTTCCTCCAGTGGACTGGAAAGGTAATTTCTTCATCTTTCCTAAAGCACAAGGTTCACAAAACTCCGTGGTTCCGGTAAGGGTGTCTATGTCCTGGAGCTGTCCTTTTGTAACCATTCGTTGCAAGTGATCCATTCCAATGTGTCCCATTCTCCTGTGCAATAAATTTACATCTACTGCTGCCAAAGCTGACTCCGGGTTGATTTCGGGTTTTGCTTGGATGTGATAAAGTCCTCGCTTGTGTAAGGCAGTGAGGATAAGTTCCTCCTTTTTCCGAACTTCACAAGCATTTGACCCTGCTGGAAAAATTGTTGATAACCCCATTTTGGACAATTTGTGGACAAAGACGAGTGCTAACGTGAAGTTTGGCACAAGTAAGACATTTGACAGTGCAATATTGTAGTCCTTTTTGCCAACAGTTGCTTGTAGGATTACTGTTCCATCGCCAATGGCATTTACAGAGGATTCATCCCCAAAACTGATTGTCTTAGGAGGATGCAGAACATGGTATGTTCCTGGCTCAAACCAGGAGCGGTGAGGGACCATGTGGGATGTTGCTCCGGAGTCAATAATAATTGTTGTTTTGGTCTTATCGGGTTCCAACACAAGGTAAGCTTGAATGCGTTTAACAAAGGGCTTGGAAATATGTACATGTTCCAATGCAATATGACTCTGTTCCTCCTCGGAGTCAGATCCAGAAGATTGCTCCGCCGTATTTGCCTTTTCCTTTTCTTTTCCTTTATCCTTGTATCTTTCCTTTTCCTTCTTCCTTTGACCTTTTTCAGCTGACTGAAGTGTTTGACACTCCGAGGTGTTGTGTGATTTGGCTTTGTGGAAGTTACACCATTTCTCCTCGGATTTGAGTGCTGATTCGGAACCTCCAGGGGCCTTCCCTGACTGTCGTGCAACTTCTGCAGTGATCCAGATCTCAACTGCATCAAAGGTAAGTTTATTTTCTTCAATCGTGTTGATTACTGATGACTGAAATATTTGCCATTCAGGAGTGCATGGGAGAGATTGGAGAAGAGTGAAAGCCATGAGTTTGGTATCCACTCCTAGTTTCATTCCGGAGAGGTGTGAATCAATTGTCCGGATTTTCACAATGTGGTCCTTGATAGGTGATGTCCCATCCCAGGACAATTTGGTGAGTTGCTGGAATGAATAGAAGGCCGAGGCAATATTGGACGTTTGATGGAGTGAGACAAGTTTATCAAATAACTCCTTGGAGCTGGTGAGGTCTCCAGTCCTCATTAGGAGGGTATCAGAGATGTGGTCCTGGATGATTCCATGTGCCTTCTCATCCTCAAGTATCCAGGTGATCTCAGGATCCTCCGAGGAGATAGGTTTCCCTGGTGAGGGCTTAAGCTCCTCTCCAGTAACAACCCGGAGAACTTTTTCCCGACGTAGCTTTGAGATGATCCGGAGTTTCCATATCTGAAAATTGTCCAAGTTGTTTGAAGGGCCGGCAGAAAATGCTATATGAGGATAGCAAAAGTAGTTTGGAGGGATGCACAATAGGGCCATCTTGAGGGTTAGGTTGTCCAGAGGATTACACAAGGATCTGTTAGGGGTTTTGCAACAGTTCCCAAGATGGGGATGGCAATTGGTGAAAGAGTCTCTAATAGTTCCATGGAGCTCTACAGGAGGGAACAGAGAAAATTGACTATCAATAATTTTTTGCGGATCACCCGGAGATCACTATCCAAATTTGGTAATGCTATTGATATATGTAAGCCTACACCATCACACAAGAGGGAGCCTTTAAGGCCCTATTTCTATCAACAAAGAACCCCCCTTTAAGACCCTTACATTAGCTGCCTAACCTACTCAACCCATTATATGGGATTTCACAGCATATTATGTGAGACACCCCAGCTACTTTATGAGAGCATCCCAGGTGCTTTATGGGACATCCCAGCACTGAGGGGGAGCAGTTTTGGTCTCTCCTATGTGTAGATTATTTTTAAGTAAACATCTTTTGTGAACTGTTATTATATAACGTACAACAACCTCAATAATGAGCTATATAACCTGTCTCAAGGAATATATGTTAATTTCTGTGCAGGTGGGCCCTTCAGATAGTTTTTATATATGCCAGAATATGATTAATTCTATGATAGTAAGTTGGTTGTGGTGGTTCTACTTGTGTTGCAAGAGACTTACTTGGTATTTGCCCAATCCAAGCTGGCAGGACAAGGTAATGCACCCGTTTTCTCATGATTGAAACCTCAATTGGTCTTTATATTCCAAGCCAGGGGTGGATAAAGACTCACCTATGTGTGTTAGCCTACAATAAAATTTTTTAAGCTCTTTGTATCATCAGATCTAGCACTTGAAGCACTCTTCTAGATTTAGGCAAAGAATAACTACATGTAGTGAGGTGAAGAATACAGGGACCAGCCAGTCTGCCAAGGTTACAGCTTAATCAGATAAAGATTTATTCAAATATAAAGTCTTTTTCACAGATATTAGCTAGTTCCCCAAGCTGAACTATTCTGTTCATGACCAATGCTTGGATGTTGCATAGTGCATACACAGTTCATCCAAAATGGTATCTATGATGAGCCAATGGGTCCATATGACACACAAGTTTAGATTTTTTTGAGTCAGTGCTTATCCTATTAGTTAACAATATTGGATAAACAGACACCTTATCTTGGGAGTGGAACTCAGGTGAGTTGCAATTTTCAGACAGCAAGGTAGCAGACAGTGATACACCAAAGGGTATGCCTATGCAGGGATGAGAGCAACTTTGAGAGAGGAGTTCTGGGAGTACCTGATATTACATAAGGGCTTATACTGAAATAGGTCTGGGTTTGTGGCTGGGGCATAAATCACAAATATTGCAGTCTATCATGACTATATTGATAACGGTAGATTATAGTCATTGTATTTTTTATGCCCATGTTGATAGAAGGAGACGTACCTAAAGGGGAACCTTGCTGCTACAGAAAGTGGTAAAATCAGGCACACTGTAAAGCACAGCACCTGATGAGCAATCAGAGAGCCTAAGCTCAAGATAACATGTGGAAAATACTAGTAATCAGCCTATGGCGATTGCAGCAACATTATTGATGCTTTGATGTCCAAAGGAAGAAAGTGCCCATACTATAATGACAACAGCAATTGGAGAGTGATATATTAAGGTTTTAAATTATGCCAAAGTTGTAAAAAACGCAAAAATGAAAAAATGAAAAAATTACAATAAAGAGGATGTTTTGCAGCTTCTTTGTTGATATTCCAGCTTTACCAGGTAGCTGCAATAAATTGACATAATGGAGATAATAGAGCCTAAATAGATGCCAAGATTTGAGTGGATCATCAAGGGTTGCTATTTGATTTGAGTCATCTCATACTCTCCAGCTTTACAATGACAGTCATATTGCAGAAGTGATATCCAGTTGTAAACGCAAACTGCTATAAGACTGGTGGAAGGACAATCATAAAGCTGATCAGAATAAACCATATTCTTACCTACAGCTGAGCTGGACCCTGTACACACTCCTCAATCTATTCTTGACCACCCCAAGTCCAGTTTCATCATACCCAAAGCTATGCAGAAATGTTGCACTGTGACAGAAATCAACTCTAGTTCAGTATCTACAAGCCCTTACACTGTTATTGACCCATGCCACCATGTCACTGGAAGCAAGTTAAACAATTAGTTTGGGTCCATCACCTACCGAGTATTAGATCCTAAGTAGCCACAGTGCAGTCTAATAGTGGTGTCAGGAAGAGATCAACGCTTGCAGCTGAGACCCTCAAACAATCAGCATATGGAAAAAAAGGAGAAACTTCACATTTTTGGGCTAAAAATATAAAAATTGGTAAGCACTTGAATGCATGGTTAGCATCCATCTTGAAGTTTACCTATGCCCCTAACAGTTTGTGGCTACCTTGACCCTCCTACCATTCCAACCAATAAATCTAAGTGAAACTCATCCGCTGCCTAAGAGGCTATATAAATGACTGAGTCATTTCTATACTAAACCCCCTACTACTTATAGTCGGAGGTGCTACTCACTACAGTATAATGACTTCTAGGAGTACATTTTGTGTTCCTAGGAGAACAATGGTGACTCCATGGAGTGGTGGCTATGCTCCATGGAGAACAATGGCTCCTTTATCAGAGACCGGGCTTATCCGGTTTTGTCACCAACCAGATCACCCCTACTGCCACCCACTGACCTTGACTTGCTGCTCCAGCTAGACTCATAGTCAAAGCATGGGATAACCTCAATGTAATTCAAAATTTGTTCGCAAGTTGTACATGTGGGCTGGTCACAACATCTTGAAGGACATTCACATCACATTAGTGCACCCAACATTTGACTAAGAAAAAGGGAAAAAAGGATTTTAATGACTTGACAAATACAACAGACCCGGATACTGAGGAGTAGGGGTCTGAGGAGCAGAATGCAGAATGTATATTAATGTGATTTTTGTTTATTTGTTGTCAATGCACCAAAGCAAATACTTGTCTGTAACCATCACTGAGAGGATTCGTCTGCCAGGCCCTTCAACAATGTTCTCCAATCTTTATGGTCTCAGGTAGTAGTGTAACCTTTGTTATACACCAACAGTGCTTACCTAGTCAATGAGCTGGATGACAGCAAAATCATCTACACCTGGCTAATAGATCCTTGTTGAACTTGAACAAACTCTATGGCCAGAAAAGGATAGCTGAGGTTTAGTTCTATGTGAAAACCATGCCATGTTTAATTTGAACATTTTTGGCCCAGGTGGCATCCAGCAGTGGCTTACCTAATCACATAATAGGTCTGCTTCATTCAAGTTCATCATGATTGTTCCAACTGATTTCTGAGTTGTGGTCTAATGCTGCCAGTGAATGCTAAGTCAGTGGAGGCTTAGAGTCACAGTTGCCAGTCCCATGGACTCAAATCCTATTCAAGTTCAAGTTACTGACTCAGAAGCTACAGTATGACACCTATCAAAAGATAAGAGTAAGGTCTGATGTTTGGGCACTAGGGGCCTTTCCAAGTGGTTATAGTCCAGCTCCAAGGCTACTATCACCCAGGTGTCTACAACAGCCACCCAGATACAAAGTGATTTAAGAGAGTGTATGAGATAGATGGGTCAAAAAAACATTACCTTTGTGGCAGGAAAATTCATAGACCTTAATAAATTTACTACTATTGCATATAAAGCTATTCAAATTTCCCCGGTTTCATAATGCACATTTGAGTTCACATTCTGATTTGTACAATACACATTTATTGGAGTTATATAATGGGTTTGATTTACAGTATATAAAAACAAGAGCTAATATGTCAGACAAACAAGATTGAACATGATGTGCCATGTGTTAGATCAATTTCAGTACATCATAAGCTGATATGATATTAGTCACTTCCAAGCTATGAGCCAACTAAATCATACTGCTTAGTTGTTGATATAAGGAATTCATTATAAAGCTTGCTATAAAAGCTAGTATCTTGCAACTTTGTATATAGCTCTCCAGTCAATGTCATGATGTTGGCTTGAATTGCTTTATCAATATCCTTATTTGTGAGGTGGCCAAGTTTGAACTGTCCTATTGTACACTTGCATCCCAATATATATCCCACCTGAGTTGTTGTTAGTATCATAAAGCAGTGCAAATGATGGTGCCCACATTGATGGCAATGGTGATAAAGTGACAATATCAACAAGGTACTACCTTGAGGCACTGGAGCACAATCTTGTTAGTTTTGGTGATTCTGCACCTTTGTGCTACCTATATATTTTCATTCCTTTCTCTATCTATTCTTCTATCATTCACTATTGATTGTGTTCTCTATTATTTCGCCTTTGTGGCTGCTTTGTTTACCTTTGTTTACAAAACTTCGGACAGTACTGCAGAGTCCAATGCTTCCTATTCTCTAGTTACTCACATTGGACTCTAGGTACTGTATACCTGTCATACTCTCTAATAATCTAGTTACTCACATTGGACTCTAGTTCCAGTCCCTGATTGCTCTCAGCAAGTGGCTAGACACTTCCTTCAAGCTTTGTTCTTAATAGGTTATGAGCCCTGTGCTCTAGCCATCTTCCTGACCTCATATCTCACCATCCAAGCGTCCTACTGCTTATCCATTGTAACCATTGTCTTCTGGGACTCTTATTATCTCACCCATCACCTCAGATTACTCTGATCTCATCTTGATCTCCAACAACAACTCCTTGTTGCAAGTTACCCCCATTTTGGACGCTTTTTTGGTCTTATCTGCATCATATCTCATCCAATCCTTATCTGATCGTCCCCAAACTTCTACCATCGTCTTCTATGGCCTAAATAACCCTAGGAGACCTGTCAGAGCGGTCGGATTTGAGCTGGATCTTTCTGTGAGCCTTCATCATCATTTGACCACCTTTTGGCCCCCTATTCCATATCTCCACATCCTGTGCTCGGATCTTGGCCCTATTTGAGCCATCTACTACCCTATACTATTGCACTTTACAACCTCAATTTGGGGGCAATCCATCCACTCCATCATCCTCTGTGAAGTTTGCATTTTTGGCACTTTCACCCCTATTGGACCCCTATTGCATATCTCCACATCCTGTGCTTCACTTCTTGTGATATTTAGGCCATCTATTACTCGATAAAAATGTTCCCTATACCTCTGATTTGGTGGCAATCCATCCATCTTATCTGTCTCTGCATCAATTTCGACTTTTTGCCCTATTTTTCGCTTTTTGGCATATCTGGTGTGTGCATAAAACTCCAATCTTCTCTACTCTGTCCATTATCGGATAGAACAAGCCTATAGACTGTGAAGCTTGCCTGCATTGCCTCAGTTTGCTGTTGCCTAGAGCCTCTCTCAGTCTGCGGTGTTTGGGGAGCTTAAGTCACTTTGTTGACTCATATACAAGCCCTATTAACCAACACTGTCTCGAGGCGATTTCTCTGTTAATATCAGTGTGGAATTGAAAGGGGAACACAGGCGTAACCCTGTAGCAGCACTAGGAAGCCTTAGCACCCTCCTGGATCGCTTTTGGACGCTTTTTGGACCCTATTTGGACCTATCCTTGCGCTTTCTGACCCTCTCCATATCCTCTCTCTACCGCCTCACCATCTTATCTGCTCGCCTCCTACTGTTGCCCATTGTCTTTGCCACTATTCCATCGCCTATAGCCGTCTCCTACATCATTTATCATTGCTCTATTGTCTTATACAACACCCATCATGTCTGACTCTGATCCCAAGTTCCATCCCTTGTCTGGCACTAACTACCCCCAGTGGAGTGGTGAAATGCAAGCTTGGTTGATGACCAAGGGACTGTGGAGGCTCGTCTCTGGCACTGAAAAGTGCCCTGTGACTGATGCTGAAGCACAAGAGAAATGTGTGTTGAGAGCTGAAAAGGCTGCTGGTGCATTATACCTCAATGTCACCAAAGAGCAGCGCATCCATCTTGATGGCATCATTGATGATCCTGTCAAGATCTGGGAGAAACTGGCAATTGTGCACATCTCTAAGAAGCCTGGGACGAGATTTAATGCCTATAACGACTTCTTCTCTATCAGAAAGAAGGAGGACGAGTCCCTGTAGTCTCTCATGACCAGAATTGACGAAGGCATGCATCAGATTCAAAATCTTCGTCCTACTGGCTTCTCATTGTCTGAATTGGATGATGAATTGACATGCATGGCCATGATTAGGGCGCTTCCTGATCAATATGCCCACTTCACTTCATCTCTACTACTTCTGGGCACCTTGGACAAGACCCAGCTCAGGGATGCTTTCCTTGCTGAAGAGATCAATCGCCGTCGTTGTGCTGAAGTCGATTCTGCCTTGCATTCTTCGTCTACCACTGCCAATAGCACCTGCACCCATCCTAACTGCCATCATTGCAACCAATCCACCACCTCTACTCGCGTTCAGTGTGATTTCTGTGGTTTACTTGGTCATACCCAAGACAAATGCCACAGATACATAGCTAGTCGCCAACAGGCAGTGGAGGGTGCTAAGAATCGCTACAAGCGTGGCAATAAGGCTTAGGCAGGCTCCAGCAACTCTCAGAATACCTCTCAGCAGCCCAAATCTTCGCCCAACAATGCCAATTCATCTACTGTGGTCACTGAATCAGCTGGAAATGCAAGTCTTTGTTCCATTTATCCCTCTGATCCTCATTTCCCTCTCCAACTTGATGCTGACATTGATTGGAATGCAGACACAGGCGCCACTTCTCATATGACACCTCATTGTCATTGGGTGCACCACTATACCCCATATTGTATGCCAATCAAGCTGGCTGATCATACTGTTGTCTATTCAGCTGGTGTTGGTACTATGGTGTTTAATCCTGTGATGAATGGCAAAGTGGCTAGGGCTGTGGAATTCTCTAGAGTGCTCCATGTACCAGATCTTCAAAATAATCTCCTCTCAGTCTTGTATTTAACTCGTCAAAGTGGTTTCAATGTCACTATTTCGTCTCATTCCATGTCCTTTATGTGTGACAACACTCTCTTGTTCACTGCAACTATCAATGACAACAATGCAGCATTCCTTGATGGATCTACTGCTGCTTGTGTTGAATTGGGACATTTTACTGCGACTATACCACTTGATTTGATGCTCTGGCATTGCAGATTGGCTCACCACCATCATGCTGATGTCAAGAGACTGATACAGAGAGATCTGGTCACTGGGCTTACACTGGAATCCAAGGCTGCTCCTGATCCTGTCTGTGAACCGTGCTTGTCTGGCAAGATGCATGCCAATCCATTCCCCTCATCTGATACTCGCTCTGCTCATCCTTTGGACCTCATCCATTCTGATGTACACCAAGTCTCTTCCCCCACATTCTCTGGTTATCACTACTGGGTCACCTTCATTGACGATCACAGTCGATTCCGTGTTGTTGTGCCTCTCAAGGCCAAGTCAGATGTCTTTGATGCTTTCAAGAGATTCAAGGCTTATGCTGAGACTCAATTGGAGCGTAAAATCAAGGCTCTGCGCGATGACAAAGGGGGAGAGTACATGTCCAAGGAATTTGAGCAATTCACAGATGACCATGGGATTGTCAGACAGCATACCACCAGGAATTGTCCTCAGCAGAATGGTGTGGCAGAGCGAGCAAACAGACTTCTGACTGAGCGTATCACTGCCATGTTATCAGAGTCTGCATTGCCTAACAGCTTCTGGGGTGAATGTCTGTCCGCTTTGGTGCATGTCTGGAACAGGTGTCCCACTGATGCAGTGGCTCATGCCACTCCATTTGAGTTTTGGTATGGATGCAAGCCTGACATGTCTCACCTTCGCGTTTGGGGCTGCACTGCCTATGTGCATGTGCAAAAGGACAAAAGAGGCGTCTTTGGCTCTCATATGGAGAAATGTGTGTTTATTGGTTACCCCGAGGGGTACAAGGGATGGAAATTATACAATCCTACCACCAAGCGCACTGTTATCTCTGAGAGAGCTGATTTTGATGAGCGCTACTTCCCTGGCTTGAAGAGGTCTTCTGACAATGTCCCACCTCCACCTCCCACTCCACCTTCGCTATCCATGCCATTGGGCCTGATTGAGGATGTCCCTGCACCAGGTCCAGGGGGAGATATGGGCCCACCAGCTGCACTTCAGCAGCCTCAGCCATTGCCTGACAATGGGCCTCATTTGGACCTTGATGCAAAACCACCTGTGAATCAACCTCCTGAGCTTCCAAATCACCCTCCTCATCGCTCACCTTCTCCTGACTTGCCTATTGCACTGAGACACCCTGTAAGGGCTAGGAGACCACCTAGACCATGGTGGCTTCAACACAGACAACCTACTCCTGCCATTGAGAGTGATGACAGTGATTCTGAGGCAGTTGATGATGAAGTAGCACACTTTGGAGACTCTGCTGAGCCTAGGTCGTTTGCAGATGCAATGAAGCGTCCTGATGCAGATAAATGGAGAGAGGCAGCCATGGAAGAGCTTCAAGCTCATGAGCGCAATGGTACTTGGTCACTAGTGGAACTACCTCCTGGAGTCAAGGCTATTGGTGGCAAGTGGGTCTTCAAGATCAAGCGCAACTCAGATGGCACTGTTGAGCGCTACAAGGCCAGATATGTGGCCAAAGGTTATAACCAGCGCCCTGGCTTTGATTTCCTCGAAATATTTGCACCTACTGTCCGCATATCATCCATCAGAGTTGTCCTTGCCATTGCAGCCATCCACAACCTCCATTTGCGCTCCATTGACATTTCCCATGCATTCCTGAATGGAGTCATGGATGTCAAGGTCTACATGCATCAGCCAGAGGGATTCCATCAGGGTCCTCGCAATCTTGTTTGCCAGTTGGACAAGGCCATCTATGGGACAAAGCAGGGAGGCAGAATGTGGAACCAGAAGATGCACACTGTGCTTGAAAAACTCGGATTCAAGCGTACTTATTCAGACTCTGCCATCTATGTCTTTAACAGAGCTGATGTGCGCATTATCCTGCCTGTCTTTGTTGATGACATGACACTGGCATCCACTTCTACTTCTGCACTTGACCAAGCTGTCAAGGACCTCTCCCTGCACTTTAAGCTTCGTGATCTTGGCCCTACTTCTTACCTACTTGGCATTTCCATCACTAGAGACCTAAGTAATCACACCATCTCCCTCTCCCAACATCAGTACACTCTGGACATTTTGGAGCGCTTTGGCATGAAGGACTGCAAGCCTGTGTCCACTCCCATGGATCCTGGTTTGCGCCTCACCAAGGACATGTCTCCCAAAACATCCAGTGATGCTGCTTTGATGAAGGACATTCCCTACCTTGCTGCTGTTGGTGCTCTGATGTATCTGGCCACTACCACTCGTCCTGACATTGCCTACACTGTTGGAGTCCTTGCCAGATATAACTCTAATCCTGGTCTTACTCACTGGAGCGCTGTCAAGCACTTGTTCCGCTACTTGCAAGGCACCCTTGATCATTCCCTTGTCCTTGGTCCTGATCCCAATTCCACTGAACTCTTCACCACTTTCTCTGATGCTGATCATGGTGGTGACAAGGACTCTGGTCGTTCTACTGGTGCCTATATTGTCAAGATGGGATCTGGTGCTGTCTCCTGGAGCTCCAAGCTTCAGAACATTGTTGCTCTGTCCACCACTGAAGCAGAATACATTGCTGCTGTTGAGGCTGGCAAAGAGATTTGCTGGATGCGAAATTTGTTGAAGGAAATGGGCTATCCTATCACCTCTCCTTCCACCCTTCATATTGACAACCAATCTGCCATCTCTGTATCCAAGAACCCTGAGCACCATGGTCGGATGAAACACCTTGATCTGCGATGACATTGGTTGAGAGATGTTGTTGACTCTGGGCAGATTGCTCCTATCTTTGTTCCTACTGCTGAAATGCCTGCAGACTTGTTGACCAAGGCTCTTGCCAAGCCTAAAGTGGAAGTGTTCAGGAAGATGATGGGACTTATTAGATCAGGGGGGAGCTGATGCTTGGGAGGTGCAGCATCAGGGGGGAGTGTTAGTTTTGGTGATTCTGCACCTTTGTGCTACCTATATATTTTCATTCCTTTCTCTATCTATTCTTCTATCATTCACTATTGATTGTGTTCTCTATTATTTCGCCTTTGTGGCTGCTTTGTTTACCTTTGTTTACAAAACTTCGGACAGTACTGCAGAGTCCAATGCTTCCTATTCTCTAGTTACTCACATTAGACTCTAGGTACTGTATACCTGTCATACTCTCTAATAATCTAGTTACTCACATTGGACTCTAGTTCCAGTCCCTGATTGCTCTCAGCAAGTGGCTAGACACGTCCTTCAAGCTTTGTTCTTAATAAATCTTGTATACACAAGATGAAGGAAGAGGAAAGGATACAACTCATTAAGAGAGGGAGCTAAGTGTTACTGATGATGGTATTCGCCAGGAGAGGATTCACTGAGTTCTTCCCCATGTATTATTTCCCAAGTCTTTATACTACAATACATGAGATACTGTGCAGTTGAAAAAATAAAGTCTAAGGGTCTGGTGCCATAGCACGTGACCAATCACATCTTGAGTCTAGGCAACAGGTAATATGTCATGTGACTATGAAAAGTCCAAAAAGTAAAGTAAAGTATTATGGTCACATGATTAGTCACATGACTTGGAAAAAGTAAAAGTGAAAATAAGCACTAAATAGGTGCTGGAAGTGTCTATCATAACAGATAATTGTATTGGGGTTCAGAACATTGCCTATAAGCAAATTGTAAGAACAAGTGCAACCCTGTAATGTTTTGCAAAGTTGGCCCCTCTCAGCACATGTGGTGAGTTTCATCAAGGTAACAGTGAAATCTGAGGCTTGAAGAAAGTTATTCTAGAAAGAAACACAAGAGAATACATGGGCTGTTAGTAGATGGCTGGCAATACACTCCAACACCAAGATATTTCTCTTTTTCTAGTTTATCTAGGATCCTTTTCCAAATTTCATGAGGGAAAAATGCACAGTTGCTGATAAATGATAGATAACCAAAAGATTTGTTGAAATTGGACTTCACTTTGAGTCTGATTACTTGGTTCTATTACCTCTCTCAGAACTTTGCAAGAACAAGCCATAGAAGAACCCTGGACAATCTAACAA